ACTCCGGTTACCTACCCCAAGCTCGGCACTCCGAGCCCGGCTTTGCGTAAAAACCTAACTCGGAATGGAACAGTACTGCTAGTACTGCAGTACTAAAAAACAGTTCCGTGCATCTGACTTATTTTCTATATAGTTTTCATATAGTAACGTTTTGGCTCGTATATCATAACTTTTAAACAATTAAAAGAGTATGTATTGAATTTATAAGGATTGCGGTTATTCTTATAAAATCAAAAGTAACTAAAACATAAAATCAAGTTAATTATTGCTTATTCTTTCCTATTAATGTATTTAGGCTAGTTTCCTTAGATTAGCGTTCTGCCTATGCAGAGCAATCGACACGGCTTTAAAGAGGGGGAGGGGACAACTACCTTATTTCTAAAAAAAAAATCATACGTTTCTACAAAAACGGTTCTCGACAAAAAAAGTGGAAGAGAGGGGCATGATCCATGCCCCTCCCTAGATAACCGGCAGCCATGCTTTGGTTATCTACCTAGATTTAATATTCTTCCAGACAAAAAACGGCAATTATTTAAAACACAAACCAAATAAAAAAGCTTTTTTTTGTCATAGAAAAATATCTTAAATGATTATCATTCTATTTTCAAAAATACAATCATTTTTTATTGTATAGCATCAAGTTCCAAAGATAATTGGGTTCAATTACCTAACAAATAGTATTGTCAAAGAAAATTTTTTTATAGAAGTACCTGGGTCTCAAAACAAGCGTATTTTAATACAGATTTTGAAAATATTATTTGTTAAAAAACATTATACTAGAAGTTTACCACACATTGATTGAGGCTAGGAGTGGCACACGGAAGAAAGACTGCATTTAGTTCCTTCTGTTTACTCAAGTCTTGGACGCCTTTATAGGTTACAGCCGTATTTGAGCCGTCATCGTTTCCTTGACCTCGATAATTCAATATGTCAAGCTTGACATAAAGATCAAGATCAAGGATACTTGTCGAGATCAATAAGACTTAAGCAATAAGATTTTCACATGATTTGAAGAACTGTTCATAGGGCAAATAACATAACGTAAACACTGATCTATAGCTTCACACATTGACAAGCAAAACAAGTGGTATTGAAAATTATCTACCTTAAAATTATCATTTGAATTAATCGGATTGATTTGAAATAAAATAGATAGCCTCAATATAAACTAAACGGAACAACAAAATAAACGGTTTTCATTTCTTTATTTGGCATTTTAGTTTTTATTGGGCTTATTTTCTACTGGTTCTATTTTCGTTGTCCTCTAACGATGTCTCATACTGCCCGGTGGAAATTAACCCGGATCTCTCATCATCCATGCGCCCCTAAGAGTAACAATCGAATTTGATGAGAAAATGTTTGCACTTGATTACATCCTAAATTAAGTTAATTTAAAAGCTAAAAACTGTCACCAAGTCTAAATATTTAGATTTGGTAAGAGCCTATTAATAGGCTTTAACCAGTAGAGGATTATACATATAGCAAACTAGGCAGTTGCCTAAGTTATAAAGTAGAGGCGTAATTTTTGATTTTTTAAAGGCTAAATCAGAAAAAATGTTTTTTCTCAATTTCAGTAATTTAACATATGTAATATATATATATATATATATATATATATATATATATATATATATATATATATATATATATATATATATATATATATATATTGGCGTAAGAAGAATTTGGGCTGGGGGAGGTGTGTTGTTATTCAGCCAGAATCAGAATTTGAATAAAAAAATTGAAAATTTTAGTTAGTTAGGGAGGGGGAAGCTATCTGCCCTAAAACTTATTACTATACATTTTTTGCATGTATATGCTGAAATTAGGTCCTCAAATTATTTTTTCCCAGAAGAAGTACTTCCAGGTGGATTAAGGCCTAAAATGCCTTAATCAACCATTGGCTCTGCTGTTTAATTATTGTTGGTGAATTACAATTATTATGTAAATAGGGTTCTCCTGTATTTTAAAATTAAGCATATTGAAGAGTATAAGTTTAATGCTATAAGTTATTTAAAATAAAATAGAGATCTTAATAGTTTGTTTTAATGAACTTGGAGTGTCTATTGATTTACAAATAAAAAACAAATTTGTAGATAACCTTTTCTTGACATATTTTACAATTTGTTATAATACATTGCTGCTTTTTCTTTAAACTATTTCGTTTAAAATTAACTTATATATATGTATATATATATATTATATATTACGAACATTAGACAACATTGTATAGGACTGTTCGGTAGTAATAATTTGTATGAGTTCAAATATTAGCAATAAAGCTAGAAAACTCTTTTAAAGTAATTAAAAAATTTTGATTCATGCACAAGTATATATATATATATATATATATATATATATATATATATATATATATATATATATATATATATATATATATATATATATATATAATATATACATATATACATATATCAATATCAATATATATATTTCCACTTATATAAATGCATATAAATATACAATAGTGAGGTACATTTACTAACAGTTACAAACTGATGATGTGTAAAGGCTTACGTATATTTATATATATATATATATATATATATATATATATATATATATATATATATATATATATATATATATATATATATATAATATATATATATATATATATATATATATATATATATATATATATATATATATATATATATATATACGTATATACATGTATATATAATATATATAAATATATGATATATACATAAACTTTAAATATATATTAAATATAAATGTATATATATAAAATAAACATTATATATATATAATATATATATATATATAAACATTATATATATAATATATATATATATAAACATTATATATATAATATTATATATATATATATATATATATATATATATATACATATATATAATATAAATAATTATATATATATATATATATATATATAATATATATATATATATAAACATTATATATATAATATATATAATATAAAAAGAATATATATTTGATTCATTTTATATATATTATATATTTAAAGTTAACAAATTATTAATTCGTTAATGCTTGTAATGAAGAATCAACAACAAAATAATCTGCAGTGTATCTTTGAATGTAAAAACTTAATCTCATATAATGCGTGATGTGTGAGTATTCAAATTGAATTGGAGTGTTTTCAGTTATTACAATCTCTGCACTTCCATTAAATGCAAGGCGTTTATGTTGCTTTCCTACTTGGTTAACTGTGAAACATCTTTTTTACTAAAAAATTTGTTCCATCAAAGCGACAAGGATCAAATATTTTTTTTGGTGCGTCTATTGTTGTTATTTTCAAGAAGAATTTTTTTTTTTTTTGCTGCTGTGTGTCTGTAGCATGCTGCAAGTACATCCATATGCTTTCATAAGAGTAACTATATTTCTCATAACTCCCCATGGAATAAAGATTGACACTAAAGGAGTTAAACCAGTCATTTTTCCTTTTGGTAGTTTACGAAGAAAAACCTTACCAATTTCTTTAAGGTAGCTATCTATCATTGGACCAGCCAATACCAGATAGCAACCTATATTTCTCTCCACAATATCATTCATATCATTTCCACCAAAAGATTTTTCACAATGAACACCACTAATTATTTCGTTAGCCCATCTGGGTTCGCATGTTCCAACCCTCAGTTCTTCTTCAACCCAAAAGTTATTACCTCTTTCTATGGACATATTTTTATATTTGAATTGAAAAAGTATGCTTAAATCAGATAATTCGTAAAACAAATATGTTTTCGTTACATCCGCATATTAAATAATTTTTTAAAATCTCATAAATCTTAGCAAGTGGGAGAAAAACAGTAAAAAATAACCGCTGTGCAATCTGGACCAGAATACAGTATGAGTATTGAAAGTCAAATACAAAATTGCCATGTTGACTTTAATATTAAATATTGTTTGTGAGAAGTCATTTTTAGAAGGGATTTATGAAGGAATTATTTTTGAACTAGTTTTTTTGTGAACATATTTTATATTTTACTTGTATAACTTCAAGAATTAATTATTTTGCTTTCCTTGTTTATATTGATATAAATTGAAGACTTTTTATACTGTAAAAAGCAGAATAATTTCTTATTTTGCATGTTTGTTGCAATCAATGAGATATTAACTAAACAAAAGACGTGTTGAATACGCTTATAATACGTTTTAATACGTATATTTATACCTTAAAAATACAATTTGTGTTATCTGTCAAAAGTAACTAACTTGATAAGACGTTGTAATCTGATTTTGATACTTATGTCTAAGTGATCCCCGTAATTAAGGCTGTCATTCCAACAAAGAGTTTTCCCGGGTCAAAAAGTTAAGGTAACAACCTATTTAAAACACTGCGATCTGGTTTATTAAGAACTTTAGTCATAAGATAGTAAAATGCAAGTATATAATCTTATTTGAGTTATTTAAACTGTAGTATAAATAGAATTGTCTGACTTGTTGAGTCAGTTTTTTTATTTAGCGCAATGGCAAAATGTTTCAAGTTCTGATTTAAAAAAACAAAAAAAGCATTTTTATAAAAAGTCCAAGAGAAAAGTCGTAAATAACTTTATAAAAAAAACATGTTTCGAAAAATAAAATATTTTATTTCGAGAGGGTAAATAAAAAAAAAAAAAAAAAAGAAGAGAAAATAGAAAGCTCAAATGTAAAAATCCAAATAAATTTCGTAAGTTTCAAAACTACATTCACCCATGCGGACTTGAAGAAAACTTCTATAGTATTAATAATTTGAGTTTATAAATAAAATTAAAAAATATATATAGATTTATGGTTTTATTTGTCGAAAGAATGTTGGAGAAATATACGCATAGGCTCGTAATTAATAATATCAAAACTAAGTTTATTTATAGTTTTATTCGTCGAAAGAATATTTGAAAAGACTACGTTAAGGCTCGTGATTGATAATATCAAAAGAAAGTCTAGTAAAATCAGGACTTATGCCATATTAAATATGAAAACAATAGAAACAATTTGCGATATCCTGCATGCTATAAGCTATTTTTCTAAAATATTTTATTAAAGATTATCTCGGCTAATTAAAAACCTGAGTAGAATCTTCTTCGTTAGATTCTTCTTCAGCTTTACGTAACCAAGATAAAAAGTCTTTTACCGAACTAATTGTATTTCCTTTTCCATCTGGGAATTCTTTACTTGATTCCCATGTAAAAAATGTCTCCTCTGATATAATATCGCGGTTATATAATTCTTGAAATAAATCAATAGCAAGACCTAAAAACAAATTAAAAAAAATCAAAAATATAAAAAAATTAGATTTACCAAAGTAAAATTAGAAATAAATTTACCTATAGGGTGATGTAACGTTGTCACAAGCTGCTGAATACCATACAACGCAAATAATTCTAAATTTTTATTTCCATAAATATACTTTAATAAAATATTTATACGTTTCTCTAATTCATCTTTGTTACAGCTACATGTATTTGTCGCATCTAAAAAAACAATTCTTTAACGTAAATCTAATTTAAGAGAATAATACTAAAGATTAACAAAATTAACTGACCTTCAACAAGAGTGCTTTTGCAAATCATTGACGTTAGATCTTTTATAAAATATGGGTCAGATTTACAATTGCTACATTCACTCTATAAACATATTTAAATAGCAATTTCATAACAACTAAAAAATATTGCAAATATGTTAAGAAAATACGAGCAACAAATTGAGAGTGAACAAGTTATTTGGTCACAAATTCTCCCAAAAAAGTTAACATAAAAATGAAAAAACAATTTATAAAAATAAAATACATACAGGAACTTAAAACTAGAACTTACATCAATATAGGATGTTATTTTATTATTGTCGCCTTTTTCTTGAAGTATACGTAATAGACCTTTCAGAACATTATTTGAATGACTTTTATTACTTGAAGTTGAATTCATTAAAAACTCCATTTTCTAAACATAAAATAGATTAATATAAAAAAATGACCCCATAGTTGGGTGTTACTGAAATAAGATCCGCTAAATTTTGATAAAATGCGGTTAACCATTTAAAAAACGATTTAGATTTTTATTTCCTATTAGATCTGGTTAAGTCTAAAACAAAGTAACCTGGTTAAGTCTAAAACAAAAAACAAATCTGGTAAAGTCTAAAACAAAGTAATTTTGGTTAGACTAAATTATATTTAATTATTGAATAAAATATTTACATTTCAATTTCTTAAAGAATTCGATCGTTTATCCCGTAATTTAACATACTAGTCAACTTTTTAAATAATTATCTACTTACTTTGTCTTTTATAAATTTATCTACATTTTCATCATTATTTAATAACATCTCCCATTTAATATTTGACTTAGACCACAATTCACTAACTGATTCTTCTTTCTGAAATTAAAGATGTAATAAAATTATATATATATAAAAAAATAGACTTTACATTGGTGCATTCAATACAGCTTTGTAAACAAACAATAGTATTATACCTTAGAGTTTAAGAATTTTTTTAATAGAGAGCAAATAATATAAAGGTGCAATTGTTTAGTGTGCAGCAGAAATTTAAAATGTTAAAAAGTTATCATAGAATGATCCTTATATTTTAATAATAGACCTCGGCAGAGCTGATAAAACCTATAAATATAATTCTTAAAAAAAAATAGTAACATTTTAAATAAAAAACAATATATAAAATTTTTGTAAATTTTCTAAAATTTTAAAAACCGTAAAACTTAATTAACCAAAAAGTAATGTAAAAATTATTTTTTTAATTAAGTATTTGCCTTAGTATTCTTGTATACTTTTTTAAAATCTAAAATTATTAAATTTTATGTTATAAAAAAAAAATCTTTATTAGAATAAAATAGGATAATAATACATATTTTAAATATTCTCCTTAAACTTTATCTTTGTTACTAAAATATTTTAAAATGACAACCAGTGTTTAAATAATAAAAAAATGCATAGCGGTAACAATACTTCGGGTATAAAAACCCTGTGTTGAATACACTATATTAAATATAAATAAAAAAAATTACATACACCAGCAATTTGAACAGCTACTGATAAAGCCTCAGCCATAACATCGCCTGCTTTGTTTGGCTTGACTAATGGTTCTAAAGTGTCTTTGACTCTATTTAGAGGAAGCGCACCATCATAAACCATGGGACCTATCACTTCCCCAAGATATTTATAAAAATGTGGTATATCAACAGCATAATCTGGAGCATTTTGCACAATAGATGCAAGCCTACAGGTTTAATTAAAAATTAATCTACATTTAAAGTTAATATTATTAAATATATATATATATATATATATATATATATATATATATATATATATATATATATATATATATATATATATATATATATATATATATATAGACACATAAAAAATAATTTTTAAACTGTACAAAGCTTAACTAGGCACAAAACAAAATACACAACAAGAAATAAACTTATTCAACACAAATCATTCAAATAATAACAGACTTAATAATAACAGAAAGCAATAAAACTATAATAAGAGTGTCACAATCAAGCTGACTGCACAAAACTTAAATAAAAATAAAAACAACAAAATAATCTGAAATAAATGTACTCAAATATAAGAGGGTTTCAAACCAAGAGAAAGTTGTAAAATTTGAAACATAAAAAATCATAAAAAAGCAATTAAATAAAAATAACTGAAACCTATCTTTGTCACTCCATACCAAGTCTTACTAAAACATTATTTGCTAATAGAGAGCATTGACAATGAAATGCTAATACAGGCCTTGACAAAGAAATGACTAATAGTAAATACACGCACATTTTGTGATCTATGTGTACGAAAAGAATCATAGGATAATAATCATTTTAAATGGTGTAGCACAAAACAGACAAGGATTTATTGTAATCATAAAATACAAATGGTCAAACAGACCCAAAAATAAATAAATAAAATCAACCAACATCTTAATCAGGCAAATAAAACCAACATTTAGCCATACATATTAAGTATGAATTAAGATGTCTAAAAGTATAACTAAATAATCACTTTTTTTAAATTGGGTCATTAATGCAACTTTTATACAACTGACCAAACATTACGCAAGATAAATTGAAAAAAAAAAAAAAAAAATTGAAAGAAACATCAGACAATTAAATAATTCTTACAAAGAAATAGTTAGCTATTATATTTACTATGTATTAAACAGAGACATAATTAGTGTTAAAATGATTGATAACAAACATTTATAAATGCCTAAACCTCTCATTTTTATATCTCTTTATATAATATGACAACAAAATATATAAAAAATGACATAAGTTTATTCAGCTTCATAAATCCTCTCAAGCTACTGTAAACAGTTATTGCAAAATAATACACAGCTAAATGTAACCGAGATCAAATGTCATGTCAAATATTTATTGATAGCAGAAATGATACTCACAAAATTATTAAATTGAATATTTTTTATTTTTAAATAAAAGTTAAGTTAAACAAACTTTATTAAAAGCTATTACGTTAAATAATAAAAATTATGTTAAATAATTACTTCATTAAGTTATGAGATACATTCTTAACATTTGACTCAGATGACATTCTTAATATATGACTCAACCAAAATTGAACAAAAAATAGATTTAAGCATATTTAATAATATGAATAACCTGTTCATTATAAACAGTCAAAAATACTTTTTAAAGCCAATCTTTATGAAATTAAAAATAATTAAAAAAAACTTTCTTATAATTAGTTCTATTCTCTCTTACTGGTTAAATTGAAACTTTCTTAGAATTAGTTCCATTCTCTCTTACTGGTTAAACTTCTAAATTTAAACAGTAAGAGAGGTTTTTCTCTCTTACTGTTTAAATTTAGAAGTTTTTTAGATTTCTCATAAATTTAAGTACAATTTTAAAATTTAATAACATTTAATTCAAAGCAATCTAAAGGATTTTAATTAACTGTTCTAGTTAAAATTAGGAAGAAGCATGAGAGAAAAACAAAAAGCAAAGCAATAGTACAACAATCAAAAAACTATTACTAAAACTTATTTATTTAGTTAAATTTTATTTCAATATCATCAGCCACAATCAGTTTTAAAATCATTTTGAATTCATTTCCTAATAATTTTATTCATTAAACACGGTTATCTTACCTTAACTGTCATTAAGTGTGACAAGTATTATAAATTTAAATAAGAAAATAAGTATGATGTAAGAAAAGAACTATTTCCTTGTAAACTAGTTATACTTCTTTGATTTAATAATAATTAATAGTTTTTAATTAAAATCAAAATCAGTCGACTTGACGTTCAAAACTGCTAGAGAAACATCCTCTTGAAGAGCAAATTGCCATTGAGAAAGAACCAAGTATGTGTTGAGGCATACACCTCAGTCTTTTACGAAAAGATTTGCCCCAAAAATGCTTTCAAATATTTATCTTTACCAGCAAAAGCAGTCGAACAAATCACATCTTAAGTTATTTTCAATAAAGAATTATCTCTGTAATAAACCATTAAACTTGCTATAGCGTTACAGCATAGTAGACCTAAACTTACAACTTACCTCCAGTAAATATTTATACTTGAATGATTTTTATATATATTGAAAGTATGACTTGACAATTAAGAAATTATCTTTTAAAAGATATTCTAAGATCAGGTTAATACTTAAGTTATTTTTTTTTATAATTATTATTAATTTAGGAGTTTAATATTAAAATAAAGCTCTTTGAAATTTAGAAACAAGGGTGCATACTCTCCACTTACAGTTTGGGTTGCTCACTACAATGATTTATCAAGTCTTGCGTATCATGTTATTTAACCTAAATTCCTTGCGACTATTTTGTTCAGCTAGAAAATGACAGTAGAAAATGTTTTCTCTAGTTTCATCTATACCAGTCTGCATTTTGTTGATACTGCTGTAAGGGATGAAACCAGCTCACTGCTACAACAACAAACTCTAATTCAAAGGACAGGCAAAGAGACAAGAGACAAAGTTTTGTAGTAGCTTTAAAAAAATTGCCACAAGCTAATCAAATGAATATTAAATGAATATTAAATATTCCAATATGAATCTGGTCACTGATTAATGCAAATGGAGTTTAACTAATTTTAGCTTGTGATATATAAGTTACAAATATTAATTTGTGGATTTTAAACCCATTCAAACATACACCTCTGCACACAGTGTGACATTAAAACCAAGTGTCTTTTTAAATTTAAAAAACTTGCAAATGCTAGGCTCAATCAAATCTAGCCGTGAGTTTTTTCAGCAACTTGGCAGTATTTTTGCTAATATAAAGCTGTTTGCATTTGTCATTCAAAAGATTTACAATGCCTACATTGTTCTGATTTAAGGAATTGTCCTAACAATGGAATTGCAACTCTTTTTACGAGTTGTCAACCATTTTTTAAAAACTCTTAAAATTACTTAGATGAAAGCTGGTTAAGCAGACAGCTGCCCTCCACCTTTACCAAAGCCCATATGTGGGTAGAATTTCAGAAAATACTTTTAAAAAATGTAGACATCTTGAAACAAATTACTGATACAAACATGGTTCCAAAGATTGTTCACATATTTGAAGCATTTAAAACTTTTAATTTAGTTGTCAAGGATTGCTTTGGATTCATACTTTAGCTGGATTTTGCTGAAATATCAAACATTTCGAATGATGTTATTAGTACATACGCAACACCCAAAATTCACCACATTAACAGTTTCATCACACACAAAGGATCGCCCTTGGAGCCCTATAGAGAACAAATTGTCAAAACTGCTTATCAAGACAAGACTTTTATCAACATTGGTTCAAGTATAAGCAAAACACTAATCTTTTTTAGAGCATAATTGATCTAAACAGTAAGCATCTTTAAAGTACTGCTATTTTGAGTTATTAGAAATCAGAAATTCATAGCTTATGGTTTATAATATATTCACTATCAACCTTTAAATGCTATTAGTTTTAAAGCCATTTTTAGTATTACATTTAAAAATAGTATTGAAAAGTATTTGCTCTAGAAGAATGTATTGAGCTATTGAAATATTGATATATTCTCAGACTGTACCATGCTTTAAATAACAAATCAATATTTTGATCTGTAAAAAAATAAGTAGATGAACCAATAGAAATATTGCACACAAAAAAAAAAAAAAAAAAAAAAAAAAAAAAAATTTTTTTTAAAGGTGTTTATATTGGACACTATGAAGTCAAAAACTTACTTGATTTGAACATTTAAATTAAATTTTTACCGAAATTTGCATTACATGGTACCTTGATGTGTACTCTATCTTTCCATATAAATGTCATTCTTGGGTCAGCTAGGTTGGCATTATCAGGATCCATAAAAAGGGAGTAAAACTTTTATTAAAACATTGAAAAAGTTAGTGTAAATGGTCCATGATATTACAAGCTGTTTTAAATCAAGTAATTTTTCAAGCTTACGAAGGATATTTTAGAATGGCTTTTCACTACTTGTGCACACATTGACTCTAGCTAAGCTTTTTATGTACATATATACAGATACACATACATGTATATTAAAGAAGATTAACTTACCCTTTACATAACTGATCAACAGTTATTACATTTTTAATTATCATATCATGAAGCAATGCTCCAATGGACTTTCTTTCTTCTGATTTCATTTCTATAACTATTGTAATAGCTTCTTCAACAAACATGTAATGAAGATATGAACAATTAACTTCTTTTAAACAAGTTATAGCTTCCTAAATCAATCAAAATATATAAATATAAGATTGAATAAAATTGAGTATAAACAAATATAATAACAATAGATATAAAGTGACACAAATTGCAAATTATGATATCATGCTAAAAGATTTAAATAAAAAAGCAGTGTACATAAATAGTCTAGCAGATAAGGTGTAAAAAGATTGTATTTGCAATTAATATTTTTTATAGTAAAAAAATAGATTATTATTTAATTTTACTGAAAATATTTGTTTTAAAACAGATAATAAATAGATAATAGGCAGATAGTAGCCCAACATGAGCACTTAAAAAAAGTTTTTAAACTAGAGATAAAACAATTAACTAGATAATTATAAGCTTCTTAGTATACTTTGAACTTATATTTTATGAAGCATACATTACTTAACTGAAAATATTCTAAAACAAATATTATTTAATATTATTTAAGACAAATGTTATTTTTAACTAGCCAATTGAATAACTAAAAGCAAAAAGAACGTGATATTAACTATAAACAACAACAACCTAAACAATAAAATTTTTAATTAGAAAAATGTTTAAAACTTACATTTGTATCTCTTATACTTAAATATTCATTTATTGTAGATTTTGTCTTTTTTCTCATGTCTTCTTCAGAGATTTCTATTACTGTAGAATCAACATCTGCAGCTGCATCCATCGTTTCAACAGGAGTTTGAGCACCAGATCGGGGACTATCACGACCACTTTGACTGTGTTTAGAAAACTGGTTTTTCATTGTAGTTATATCCTGAACAGCACGAATTGCAGCACTGCGATCTTCACGACTAGATTTACCACCTGAACTCCGTGAAGTATTTGATCCACGACTTCTAATTTTTAAGATAAAGTTTTATGCAATAAAAGAAATAAAATAAAATTATAAATTTTTAAAAAACTCAATGTCTGTTCATTATTTGTTTCATAAAAACTAATTTTATTTTCGAAGAGGGAAAAAAAAAAATAATTAATTTTTTAAAACTTTACTTCTTTTGAGTGCCTGGTTGATTTACTTTTAAAGAAATTGTTAACATTAAGGACCCTGTATATATTCAAGGGTCTTAGAATACCATTAGAATTATAATTAAAAAAATTTACCACCTGAACTCCGTGAAGTATTTGATCCACGACTTCTGCTAATTGTTTTATAGAATACATTAAGAGATATTACCAGGCACTTTATATAATTTTTTTTATCCACTCTAATAAGAAAAACTTATTTCTTCAAAAAACAACTTGTTGAAAATTATATTAAAATATCCTAAATAGGCAAATTTAATATTTAAAAATTTGTGAATATTAGGTAAATAAGATAAAATTGTAGACAAATATTTTTATATACAAACATTGAGTGATACCTAGTTGGATTGGGATTCAATTTGAATAACCAATATCAAATTTTTTTTTCAAATAAATGTAAATTAAAATATAAAAATTAAATTAATTAAAAAAATAAAAACTAAATAATAAACAGTATATAACAAATGTAGATAAATTATTATATATTTGTTTTATATTAAAATATAAATGTTGATGGTATATATAAATATTATTTAAAAAAATATTAATGGAATTAAAAAATGAACAAAGATTACAATTTTACAAATCTTCTAAAATAATTTATAATTAGTGAACTAATTGAGGACTTCAGATTTTTTTATTTTTTGTCTTGAAACAGTTAAAGATTGCCTTTTATGCTTTAAACTTTTAATATATAAATGTATGTATGAATGTGTGTGTGTGTCTATATATATATATATATATATATATATATATATATATATATATATATATATATATATATATATATATATATATATATATATATATATATATATATATATATATATATATATATATAATATATATATATATATATATATATATATATATATATATATATAGACACACACACACACACTTACTAAAGCGTGTTTTGATAAGCATTTGCTCACTTTTTCTGCTTACCTTAAGCTATACCTTTTTTTTTGAAAAGAAAGAAGAAAAAACAAAAAATGATGAATAAAACAATTGCTTCCCCATCATAAACCCTCAGTCGATGTAGCAGCACTCCACTGCGAGTCAGGCTGTTTGTTAGTCAATGTATGTACTGAAGCTCCCGGCAGCAGGCTATTTCAGTATGACGTCAGATTGCTTACCTTAGTACGCAATACTATTTGTGTATATATATATATATATATAGACACACACAAAATAACAGATAAATATTATATATATATATATATATATATATATATATATATATATATATATATATATATATATATATATATATATATATATATATATATATATATATATATATGTATATGTATATGTATATATATATATATAATATATATATATATATATATATATATATATATATATATATATATATATATATATATATATATATATATATATATATATATATATATATATAGGCTTATTAACATTGTTTTTTGCTGTCACCCATACAATATCAGTGCTTAACTTAAACCAATACTTTGTTAATAGAAATAGGCATTTTATAAATTTTGAGAATTTTTAAACATTTTTGTCTTACCACCATTTAAACATCAAATTAATATTTATTAGTTCATTAGTAATTGAATATTTGGTATTTTGAAATTGAATCATTTTCTAATTAAAATAGCATTATTTTCTAAGCTACAATTACTATTATTTTTTTTAAAGTTACCAGTTGCAAATTTAATGTTAACCATAATTTTAAAATGTATATTGATCTATATAATAAAAAGCTAATCTGAATATAACAAAAAAAATACCCTCGCTTGCTGTCAACACCTGATGGTGGATTTTGTTCACTAAGAACATCATAACGATTTGCCTGTCTATTCTGAACAGATTCAACAGATGCAGGAGCACCAGAACTACTACGACTGCTTCCACCACTAGCTCCCCTCGACCAAGAAGAACGGAAACCACCAGGTCCAAGAGATATATTTTCAGAGTCATCTTTCTAAACAAAAATAATATAAGTTTATATTATTAAATTAAACTTAAATAAATATATATAAATATATATATATATCAAGCCTTCCCAGGAAAAGCGTGCGTTTTTTTTCTCGTACAACCACAAAAACGTTTTTCAAGTTAGAGAACGTGATCACAGCCATTTGCGCAAGTTATATGCATTTTTGAAAAATTGTTTTAAATTTAATAACTGCATAAGAAATTAAAATAAACTTAAATAGAAAAAAAAAAAATAGTTTAAATAATTTGTGTTGTTTTTAATTTTGTTTTTTCTTAGTGGTTATTATTATCGGCAAAAAAATTCATTAAGTCATAGCAAAAAAAGGTTTTAATTGTTAAAAAGGATGACTTTCCCATATTTTATGTGTTTTTTCTTTTAAAGAGGAAAGAGAAAATATGTATCGTCATCTGTTTGTAAAATATATTTGTATAATTATAATGTAACATGTTTATATCAAGAGTTAAATTATACGATTGTGTTTGTAAACTCTGGTAAAATATTAGGTCTTTAAAATTTTAGTTAATGCAAAGCTGTTTACTTTGTTTATAAGAAGCAAATTATTAAAAGTTTGCTAGCGAGAAAGTTACAAAAAACAAAACAATAAACTTACGACTACAAAAGTAATAACACTTTAGTCACTAACTGCATTATAAAAGTAATAAAACTATAACAGTGTTATTACATTTATAAAACACTTATTACTTTTAAAGTTCATTTTTGTTCAAACAACATTATTAATTCCAAACATTTATTAAAGTAGAAAAGCATCTAGAAAAAATAAAGCTGATATTCAAATATTATTAAAAATTTCAGGAACTTTCATATATCACTTAAACAACGTTATAAAAGTACTTTATAAAAAATATAGCATTATGAAAAACGTTATGTGAAAACGCACGTTAATTTTGAAATTAACCAATGAAAAACTTTTATTAGTTAATTTTAGAATTAACGCAGGTTTTTACGGTCCATTAGTAACATTTTTCATAATGCTTAACTTTTAATAAGATACGTTTTCATAAAGTTGTTTGTCACGATTTTATAAGTTACTTTAGTTTTAATATTATTTGAACATCCACTTTATTCTTCTAGATATTTTTCTACTTTAATTAAAATTTGGGAATACTAATGTTGCTTTAACAAAGAATGAATTTTAAAAGTTATAAGTGTGTTATAAAAGTAATAACACTATTATAGTGTTATTACTTTTGGAATGCAGTTAGTGACTAGAGTGTTATTACTTTTGTAATCATAAGTTTATTGTTTAATTTTTTCGCTAACAAATTTAAGTTGATTCTCCCCTTAAAAACTAGGAACAGGGTTTTGTATAAACTAAAATTTTGAATACTAGATATTTTTCCAGATTTTGCGTTTTGCATTCCCTTAATTCAACCCTTGTTGTTACATTAAAATTATACAAATAAATTTTACAAACACATTGCAATTTGTATTTTTGCTATCCTCTAAAAAAAAATCAAGAAAAGGAAAATCATTCTTATTATAGACTTAAAATTGTTTTTTTTTTTTGCTTCGCCTTATCTAATTTTGTTGCTGAATGTAACTTTAAAGAAACAAACATAAAAACGGTACACAAATTATTAAAGTTATTAATTTGTTTTTATTTTTTTCTATTTTAATCTCTTAATAATTTGTTAGTTTTGTTTTTTTGTCTTTTTCAGTATTATTATAAAACTTGCAAACGGTAGTGTTCACGTTTTCTAAAATATTACAATCGTGTGTGGTCATACAAGACGAAAAACCGCACGCCTTTCCTGGGAAGGCTTGATATATATATATATATATATATATATAAATATTACATTTTTAAAAGTCAAGTAAGTGAAAAAAAAAAAAAAAAATTAAACGGTTAAAAAAAAAAAAATTTTTAAGAAAAGTATATAAAAACAACCTTTGCAATTTTAAACTTGCTCGCATCAACTGGAGTAGCAGGAAAATTTTTAGATTTTGAAGGGATGTTAGTCCAGCCATCAGCAGATGAAGGAGGCCCACTTACACCACCACGCATAGCAGGACTATCACGCCCAATACCTATAAATAAATAAATAAAAAATTTTAAACAACAGTTATTTGTCACAAAAATTAGATTAATAAATAAATAGGCAAATTTCAACACACTTCTTTGAGATCCTCTTTCTTTTGGTCTCATTTTATCCTGTTGTCTCATTTTTTCCATTTCTTTTTCTTCATCTTTTGCTTCCTTGTGTATTTGATCAATTGTTTTTGGATTGCTATCATCTCTTCGTGGTACCCAATTACAACTACGCAAATCAATGATATCTTTGATAGCAAACTTAATTCTAGTTGATATCTTCTTACGGTCAATAATTTTGCTCATTTGAGCAAAATATTGATCGACACGAAACTAAAATATAAATATATCATCCTGATTTTACAAGAATTGATAAATTTAAAAAAAAAAGTATTTTCTAAAGTTCAAAAGTCAAGTCATACAATATGCTGAAATTTTCAGAAATTTTCAATATGCTGAAAAATTCAGCTGTTATATATAAAATGCAATATTTAATTCATGTTATAAAAATCTTTGGATGAGAAAGAAGTAACATGCTAGAAAAATATAATCCATTAAATTATGTTTTTCTAGCAAAGATCAATTAACTTGAAATAATTGCATGTCTGATATTGAGATGATTACAGGCTACTTTAATAGAGAACATAAAAAATCTTAACGGCAAAATATAATATAAAAATATATTTTGCATTAGAGTCTGCAAATATTTTAAATAAAACAATTAAATTTGAAAAACTCAAACAGTTAATCCAGAAAAAACAATTCATATAAAAAAACAATGCAGAAAAACTTTACTTAATTTTAATAAGGAAACACTGGAAATAAAAAAATATACATGACTGCTTTAATGTAAGTATGGCAGTTATGATGGAGTAGAAATATTTGTGAATTTGCTGGAGTTATTTTAAATTTATTCAGCAAATAATCAATATTAATAGATTGTTTCATTGAGATGATAGTTTAATATTAGTATGTAAAAAATCTGGTCCAGAGCTCAAAAAAATTAAAAAAGATAAAATATTGGCTTTCAAATTAAAATAAGCATCAACTTTAAAATGTAAATTTTCTAGATGTCATTTAACTTCTCTGAAAAAACATAAGCCTATCAAAAAACTAACTGATAATTTATTGTATATACAACTCTGGGATTTAGGGTTGAGATTCAACAATGTCGACCTCAAAGTGTTTGAAGTAGACAAAAAAAATGCCAACACACACTCTTGCTTGGTCATCTTTAAGTTTTTACCATAAAATATCAGCTTAAGTTTTTTTTTTACTTTAAAGACCGGAAAAAAAATTGAATTATTTTTTTTAAACCAAACCCTCAGTTGATGTAGCAGCACTCTGTTGCAAGTCAGGCTATAAAATAGTCGATGTAGCAACACTCAGCGCATGTTTTACAGTTAAAAAGTAAAATAAAAACATTCAGAATTTTTTAAAAGATATTTAGAATGTTTTTAAAAACATTCAATTCATTTAATTTGTGGTTTAATTACTTACTGCAATTAAATTAATGCGTTTTGACATAATGTATCCTTAATTTAGTCAGCTTTAATACCAAAAACAAGCTAAGAGCCATATGCATGTATGTATGTATGTATGTATGTATGTATGTATGTATGTATGTATGTATGTATGTATGTATGTATGTATGTATGTATGAATGTATGTATGAATGTGTATATATATATATATATATATATATATATATATATACACACCAAATATATATACATACCAAATGCTCTGATAAAAATTTATATAATTCTTCTAAATGTATTTCAAAATTTTGCACTGAAATTTGACCCAGAGCAAGAACTAGAAGTATAACTTGGTTCAACTTAATAGAAATGTTTCCACTAACATATGAAAAGTATTTTTAAAGCTGTTGAATAAACACCCCTCCCTTCTCCCACTAATAAATCACTTAATATTGTAAATCAAAACTTAATTACAGTCAGCTACAGTTACACACACAAAAAAGAAAAAAAATATAAGTTACAATGATGTATTAGTAGATAATAAATTCCATAATATTTCTAAAAAATGAGAGAAAAAGTTGTGTTCTATTCTGTTAGATTTGTCAGCTTAGTCATTTTAAGAGTGATTGATATTTACAAAATAGATGAAAATTTAATATTTAAATGAAAAAAATACAACTTTTTTAAGGTTAACCAGGTATATATATATATCCTTATAGTGTAGTCGAAATTTATAAAGACTACAATTTATAAATTTAATAAAGACTACAATTTTTTTGTAGTCTCTTAAAATGCATGTTATTGTCATTGAAATGTCAAAGCAATTAAATTAAGGCGGCAGTACATTAAATTTTATTGTTTTTTAAAAAAACCGCAAAATTAATGACTAGAAAGTATTTTTTAATTAATAGTGTTTTTGTTGATGTTTTGTTAAAATATATATTAAAAACATGCGCGGAGTGTTGCTGCATCTTATAGCCTGCTGCTACAAGGGAGTGGTGCTACATCGACTATCTTATAGCCTGACTCGCAAGGGAGTGGTGCTACATCAACTGAGCGCGTTAATAAACCAGACCAGAAAAAGTTTTTAAACTTTTTCTGGTCTGGTTTATTAACGCGCTCTTTAAAACTACAGTTTATGGGAAAAACTTTCTGACTACCATTCAAGACTAATATATATATATATATATATATATATATATATATATATATATATATATATATATATATATATATATATATATATATATATATATATATATATATATATATATATATATATATATATATATATATATATATATATATACATACATACACACTCTTGCATGGTAGTTAAAAAGAGTTTCCCATAAACTGTAGTTTTAAAGAGCGCGTTAATAAACCAGACCAGAAAAAGTTTAAAAACTTTAAATTTTTTTTGTTTTTAAATGATAGACTGCCTGCCCAAACTAGAGATCGCCGGTTACAGTATACGGTATACTAACTTTACGATATACTTTACCGTATAGTTGGTATACTAAAAATTACTATACCAATTAGTATACCTGTTATTTATGAAATATTTTTTAAATGATTTTATAATTCAATAATGATATTATCTTAATTGATTAAATAATTGTATTATATGTATTACGCGATTACTTTTTTAGATAAATAATACAATAATTATTAATAATAAATATAGTATTATTTATAGTAGTATTAAAAGAATTATCATTTATTAAAGTGTTGTTTTTTTGTAATTTAACTTTTGAAAGGTTTTTGAATTTATTTATTTAAATTTTAATTGTTTTTTGTTCTTTTTTATTTGCTTATTGTATGTATAAAAGTAACATGTTTACTCTTACCTTGAAGTAAAATATTTAATGTCAGAACAAATTTACCAACATATCTCTTTTTTTGGAAAAGGTTCAACAAGAAAAATTTATTGCAAATATTGTGATAAACAAATTACAGCAAAATCAACATTAAGATGGGAGCAGCATTTGAGAGGATGTAGAAAAACGTCTGATGAGGTTAAGTTGTGCTTTAAAAAAATAAAAAAAGAAGTTCAGAGTGTTATAGTTGAAACAAAAGGATATGATAATATGGCTTCACAAACCTCTGAAAATTTAGTTTTCAAAGAATCTGGGCAACCTGCTAAAAGAACTATGCTAAATTCATACTTTGACACTATAAGCAAAGATGACATTGATAAGATAGATAAATCATATGCAAGGACATTTTTCCATACAGGAGTACCTTTTGCATTAGCTGATTCTTCTGCATGGAAGCAACATCATGCTAATCTTAGACCTGCATATAAACCTCCATCTAGTAAATGTATAAGTGGGCGTCTTTATAAAGATGCATTAAATGATGAAAAACATGCAATAAAAAAACATGTTGATAGTTCTGAATACGTTAGTATACTGACTGATGGATTTTCAAACATTAATGTGAATCATCTTGTTAGTTATTCAATTCATGTTGAAAATAGGACTATGAAACTTATTGCTTACAAAATTGAGCCTACTGGTCAAGAACAGCAAACTGGCATTAATATTGCAAAACGCATAGAAAATGTAATTCTTGAAATAGGTGTTGATAAAGTTACAAGCATTGTTACTGATAACGCATCAAACATGAGAGCTGCATGGGATATTATTGAAAAAAAATATCCAAAAATATTTTGTAATGGTTGTGCTGCCCATACAATAAATCTTTTAGTAAAAGATATTTGCCTTCTTCCTGAGTTTGTGGATATTTTACAAAAGTCTGGAAAACTGACAGCCTTTGTTAAACAAAGAACATCACTTATCGATCAATTTCGTATAATTCAAAATCGTGTTAAACAAGAAAATAATTTGAAGAAAATGCGAGCATTATCACATGCAGTTTTAACACGGTGGTATAGCCATCATACATCTGTTGCCCGTAATCTTGAAAACAAACTAGTTCATTTGAATTTAATTAACTCTGGTGCCTTCTCACGTGTATCTATATCAAAAAAAAAATCAGATTATGTAAACATTGTACAAGACAATTTTTTTTGGGAAGAATGTCAACGTTTTATTAATGTTATGAAACCATTATCAAAATTAGTAGGAAAACTGGAATCCGATAGTTGTCTACTTTCTGAAGTTTATATAGGGTTTGTTAACTTAATGGAAATATGGAAGGAAGACGCAGTATTGAAAACTATTGTTTTAAGCAGATGGGAATTTATTCACACGCCATCTATGGGATTTGCATACTTTCTTGATCCACGAAATCATGGTGGCAGAAATATGTATACTGAGTCTCCTCCATCTAGCAAAAGTGATCTTGTTATAGTACTTGAGTTGCTTCCAAAGTACATAGTTGAAACAAGAGGACTTTGCAATTATGAAATTTCAAAAAAAGAAATAAAATCATTTCAGAGGCTATGTACAAATCCGACTCCAGATTTTGCAACTCAGATTAAATTAATGGATCCTGATATCTGGTGGGGAGTTGAGGGTGCAAGTAAATTTCCAAATTTAGCAAAGGTTGCACAAATAGTCTTTACTATTCCAACTTCTCAAGCTGCAAGTGAGCGAATATGGAGTTTGTATGATTTTATTCATTCAAAGCAAAGAAACCGACTTGCAAAAGATAAAGCAATTGGATTGGTTCTTATGTATGCAAATGCAACACTCCACGAAAAAGAAGCAAATATTGCTGATATAATGCTTGGCAATACTAGTGATCACGATGAGAGTGATGAGGATGGTGTTAATGTTGATTTCACTTTAGAGACTTCAGTTGATACAAGTGATTTATTGTCACAGTTGGCTAATTAAATGCTTTATTTAATTACTAAGAAGTTTTAAAAATCTTTATATTACATCGACAAATCTTTAGATCATCGAAAAATATTAGTCAAATTTTGTTTAAATAAAAATAAAAATGTTTTTGTTTACTTTAGTATTTATTTATTCTTCCACCTGATTATGTTTATTTTGCTGTCTCAAAGGCATTCTAAAAAAGTAGAGAGCAGACAAAGTCCAGATGGCCAACAAATCTATAACAAGGTTAGGGCCCCAGAGTGCAAAAACTGCAAAAAATTGAACAAGGGAGGAGTTTTGTGTCATGTGATAAGTTTCTGCTGTTTCTATTCTTCTAAAATTATTTGAAAACACCAGAACTTATTTTTAAATACTTGTTCTAGTAAGTGGTGGATTTTGATCAACGCTTTTTATTTAATTACTTAAGTTATTAGTTTTAAAAATCTTTAAATATATTTTTGTTCTTACTTTAAATCAGTTAAATATCAAATCCAATAAAAACATTCAACCTAATGCTAATTTGAATATTTAGCTAAGGACGGGGTTGGGAAAGTAAAAAAAGTTGTCTGGTCCCCTCACGACTGAACAAATAACATTTTTTAACTTCTCTTATAGTTTCGCTAACAAATTTATTAAGTAAAAAAAGTTGTTTATTGCAATGACGTCATTGGTATACTTAATAGTATACTTTACGGTATACTATACAGTAAACGGTATACTAAAATTTTAGTATACCGTAAACTAGCGATCCCTAGCCCAAACCAAACCCTCAGTCGATGTAGCAGCACTCCCTTGCGAGTCAGCCTATTTGTCAGTCGTTGTAGCAGCACTCCCTTGCGAGTCAGGCTATTTGTCAGTCGATGTAGCAGCACTCCGTTGCGAGTCAGGCTATTTGTCAGTCGATATAGCAGCACTCCGTTGCAAGTCAGGCTATTTGTCAGTCGATGTAGCAGCACTCTGTTGCGAGTCAGGCTATAAGATAGTCGATGTAGCAACATTTACGCATGTTTTAAAAATGTTTTTTAATAAAACAAAAACAAAAACACCACTAATAAAGAAAAACTTTCTAGTCGTTATAATTGCGGTTTTTGAAAAAAATTTTAAAAAACAATAAAATTTAATGTACTTCCGCATTAATTTAATTGCTTTGACATTTCGACGACAATCAAAAACAGCTTAAGAGACAAGGTAATTAAAATTGTAGTCGAAAGAGACTTTTTTTACATTAAACGACTCTTTTGACTACACTATAAGGATATATATATATATATATATATATATATATATATATATATATATATATATATATATATATATATATATATATATATATAAAGGTGCGAATGGTAGACATTAACTCTACTAAGGCTAAACATCAACTTATAACATAACAGACATAAACTCAATAACTCTACTAAAAATGATAAGTCTCTATAGCAACAATATTAAAAAAAAGTCAAATTTAAAATTCTAACCTTAGCCTTAGGATGATCCAAATCTTTACCAATAGTTGCAAGAAGTTTGCACAAACATTCTAATTGGTCTTCTGCTGACTCTACTTTTTCACATTTAAGAAGCTTGATTACACAATCATGCATAATATTCTCTGATATCATCTAAATAGAAATATTGAAAGTTACAATCAATTTAATTCATAAAATTACCACAAGAAATACAAGTTGTCCATTAAAATATAATAACTTTAATTTAACACCTTTCCTCATAAATCAGCATATATAACTTTAAATAAAAGGACAATATGTTTACACGCATCATGACTTTATCAATATACTTTAATAAGATATACTGCTAATAATTTGTTTTCAAATTTAACCATAAAGTTTGCTAATAATTTTTGTAGACTATTTTATTTAACAAAGAAAATGGTGAAAGGAGGTTTTTAAACCATATCAATCCTTCACATACATATGCCAATATTTAAACAAAATTTTTTTATGTAGAATTATACAAATAGTTAATTCATTCTGACCAACTAAAGCTCACTGAGGCTCAGCATAAAGGCTAAAGTTATGAAAAGTTATGGCTCACCATAACGGTTAAAGTTATCTCTTCACTAGAGTAAAACATATATAAATAATCATCAAGCATCAATTAGATATATTAATTTGAAGATCATCATTTGGTTGAGATACGGGTGTAAAAAAACATAATTTAAATAAAAATCATGCAGAAAATTCTTTAATTGATGGTTATGACAAATAAAAGCATTTGATGCTTATTGATATTTAAAAAATTATCTATAAATATCATATTTATAATTTTTAAAATTTAATAAAAGTAATTGTTGTATTAACTCTTAGAGATAGTTTAAACAAGTATCATTATTTAAATAACTCAAATGATAACATAGAAAAAGCAAACTTAAAATTTAAATAATAACATTAAAGGTATTTCATAAAATCTTTTGAAAAACATGAATATCTTTATTACAAGCACACCAGATGAACAAGCCTTCTAAATTTCTATAACGATTGTTTACACCAAGAACCACTTTATATACCTAGTAAGTTCAGAAGCAATAACTTTTATTGTATGTAAACAGATCAAATGCCATTGAAAAGTTTGATTTGCAGTGCCTCAAATCTGAATGCAAAGTTCTTTAAATATTAAGAGGAAACTTTCTTCCATCATTAAATAACGTAGATACTGAGGTCACAAATTTTATCAACAAACATACAAAAAGTGAAGTTCTAAAAGTTGATTTTCCGATATGAAGAATGTAACAATGAAGACAAAGATAGCATAGATTTTGAACAAAAAAAAAAAACACAAAAAACACAAAAAAAAAGAAAAAAAAAAAACAAACAAAACCTTTCTATCAAGTCTGCTTTTGATAAATAATGTTTACATAAAAAACTAAAAAATTCAAAAAATGACAATGAAAAAGAAAATAGCAACAATGCTGAAAACGTTATATCAAATGATATTAGTAATAACCACATTTATCTTCAGAAAATTTATCTTCAAAAAACTGGATAAAAGATACAAAAAAAATACAACCTAAAGTCATCAAATAATCCACCAAGCACCTTATCACTTCCCAAAACCACTTCTGACAAATAGACCTAATTATGTCCAGCAAAAAAATGAAATTTTTTATATATAAAATTGGACATTAGGCATTTAGACATTAGACATTCTCATGAAAACTTTGATTAAACTAAGATTATTCGAAAAAACTGAACATAGAGAAAAATACCCAGAATTCTAGAAATATCCAAAAAAGGATAACCCTTGGACAAAATAAAATTATGCAGAAAATTTTTTAAAAACTCTGAAAGAAAATGTTAATGAACAACTTTAATGATAAAAATTTTATGTAAACGTTTATGTAAAAAATGGTATTTTCCATTCTTCTATTTAGATGGTTCCAGAATCATACAATATTGTCCATCTGACTTTTTAGCATAGTCTGATTAAATGAATCATCAAACGATATTACAAAAACAGGTGGTAACAGTATTCCGTTATTAAGTATGGTGCAATGCCAAATTTTGTAATATACCCACACTTTGCTTAGCTAAGCTGAGAATTTTTTCAACTTTCTAGCAAATTCAAAAAATATTTATATAAACAGTTTAGTCCTTGACATGATATTTGAAATGATTTTATAAAGCCTCATTAATATGTATGTATGTATGTATGTATGTATGTATGTATGTATGTATGTATGTATATATGCATGCATGCATGCATGTATGAATATATATATGCATGCATGCATGCATGTATGAATATATATATATATATATATATATATATATATATATATATATATATATATATATATATATATATATATATATATATATATATAAGAAAATACCTTTCTCCTACAAAATAATAAAAAACAGCAATGGATAAGACAATTAAAAATATCTATAGTTATAGATTTTATTTGTAGATAAAAATGAAAGTATTTTTGTCTATTGAATCACATCTACTTTAAATAAACCTTAAATAAAAACTTTAAAAGGACAACCAAGTCCTGAGACATGTTGTGTTCATATTAAAGAATATGTTAAAAAAAAAAACGTCTGAGCAAATTTGTTTTGATTAAAACTAATTAATAAATGTATACCAAGAAAAGCAAATCTTGTTGTTTTAGTCAAAGCTTGTCTTCTCCGTTTTCTCTGGTATTTTGAGTATGTAAAATAAACGCGATTTTCCAGGCGCATTATACAGACTTGATAATTTATTCAAGCGTGTTTAACTCATAGTAGTTTTAGAGCATGACGTCATTGGAAACATTCTAGAAATTCTCTTAAAATTTTACTATTAAATTTTACTCAAATAGCTAACTATAGTTACTTATTTTATTAAAAGTTTACTTTATTAATTGTTCATTAGTTTTTTACAAATTTAATGAACAATTAATTAAACCAAGCACTAAGAAAAGATATAAATATTAAGAATATACTAATAAAATATAAAATTTGTAATTAACTTTCAAAATTTTGACAATTTAAAAAATATATATTATAAAACGTTTATTTTTGTAAACAAATAAAAATAGTTTAAAAGTTTTACGGCTTTACAGATGTGGCTCCAAGAATGAGCCATAATATTAAAGTAATAGTTCATTTGATAAAATATTCTTAAAAAAATTTATGCTAGATATCTCAAAACGCAACAAATCATAAATAATACAATTCCTAAAACATTTCAACAGAATACTCTAGAACTTTATTTCGTGTTTTTTGAACCAATAGAACTAGTTTGTTCGCAAATTTGGCGGGTTTTTAGTGATGGCGAATATTCTTTTTGTTCTTCCGCAAGATGTTTTAAGAACATTCAAGTTAATATGTTTCCATGTATGTTTGTAAAATAAAAATTAATATATATTAATTTTTTAATTTCTAAGACCCCGCTTTTAATTTTTAAGCCCATAATATTTATTGGATGTTATAATGGAAATATAAATAACGAAATAAGATCACCTCAATACCAAAATATACATTTTTGAAAATCAGAGAAAAAATGCGCTAATAATTTTTTTTCTTCATACTTACAAAGTAAATTAATAAAAGTGCATTATTCTTTAGGTTAAAAATTATTTTATCTAATATTTTGAAAGAAAAACTTATAACAATAGAAATCAAAATACATGTCATCTAGACAATTATTTAAAAAAAGTTGCGCAAATAAAATACTATTTTGTTTTTTATTTTATTTTTAACTTTATTTTGTTTTTAATTTTGTTTTACAAACACATTTTAGAACTTTAAAATATAATAAAAATGAATATGATTTGAAAATTGTATGTAAAAAATAACAATCAAATCTATGACGTTATGCACTAAAACTCCTATGAACTAAACGAGCTTGAATAAATTATCAAGTTTGTATAATTTGCCTGGAAAATTGCGTTTATTTTACATACTCAAAATACCAGAGAAAACGGAGAAGACGAGCTTCGACTAAAACAACAACATTTGTTTTTCTTGGTATACATTTATTAATTAGTTTTAATCAAAAAAAATTTGCTCAGACGTTTTTTTTTTAACATTCTCTTTAATATGAACACAACATGTCTCGGGACTTGGTAGTCCCTTTAATAACTAAATCGAACCTGAAATAAAAGTAAAAATTAATCTGAGGAAAAACCAACAACTGAAATATTTAATTATTGTGGCCTTAATAAAGCTGCTTTCCTAAACAGTAATAAATTTTTTTATAGAAACACCTGTAGCGCGTTTCAATTATGAACATTTTATTGAAACATTTTTTCTATTGAATTAAGTACAATCCATTCTATTACATATTTGATTCTGTTACATATTCATTTGTTAAATTATTTACTTTGCTTTGGTCTACCAAATTAAATTGCTATAAAAGCACCATTCATTGTTTTTAACAGTTTAAACAAATCATTTACTTTTAGAATTTCATGCTCTTAAAGAACAAGATGTTCTTTAAGAGCATGGAGGGACAGAAACAATAAATAAAATGAGAATCAACTGAATGACGAGTCAAACGAAAGTTTTGATTAATAGAACTAGAGATGATAGCATTTTGAGTAGCGACAATGAAAATATTTGTATAAAAGAGAAAGAGATGCACCGTTACAAAGATGGGATAGACTCAAGCTTGGCAGGGTAGATTAGACTATGTTTACAATGTGATTTTGTACTTTATCCAAAATCGCATTTTAAATAGAAGAGAAAAAGCATCATTAGAAGAACCATCCCAAATATGACAACAGTAAAAGAAAATAAACATTCTCTAATAGTAATAATAGAAAATGTAATTAATATTATTGCAGTAATTTAAAAAAAAGTTAATGTTTTTTAAAAAATAGACAGTTTTATGAGTTTTTTATGGCATCTCATTCACATTAGGCTGATGCGCTAACCAACAAGGTTTAAAGGAACTATTGTTCAACCAACAAGGTTTAAAGGAACTATTGTTCATTGAAATGTGTTGTTCATTGAAATGTATTGTTCATTGAAAAATGTCAACATATTGAAATGTGTTAAATTTTTTTTTCTTAAAAAATAATGCAGCTTCACAACTATAAATGATTTTTTATTTAAAAAAAATTAGCAAGTAACAACAACAACAACAAAAAAAAAAAAAGGAATATTTTTAAACAAACTTGACAGTTAAATTAAACCCAAGCATTAACTGTAAGTTCAATAAACTTATATATTTTTAATCAAAATTAAATTATATATTTTTTAAATCAAAATTAAATAATATATATTTTATTCAACAGAATAAAATTATATGTTTACATTAAATTATTTAATCATGCATTTTTTATTAGAATTAAATTATATTATTATGATCTTAAAGTATTAATGTTTTTCAAGCGAAAAAAATCAATCATTACAATTCATTATTATAATATAAAATAAAATAAAATTTAACTTTTTTTTTTTATTATTAATTTATTTTTTATTACTAAATAGAAATTTAAGTAAATATTTTTTTAAATGCTTTTAAAAGTTGTGCTTGCAAGATGATAAAGTTTTTTTTTTAAATTTTTTAAATAATGCTAAAATAATTGTCATTTAAACTTTTGTAACAACATAATCGTCATTCAAAATATATTGTGGGTTTTTATAAATTAATTACTTTTTTTAAATTACTGCTTATAGAATAATTTAAAAGTTGAAAAAATGATAAAAATTCGCTTAATGGAAATTGCTGCGGAAAAGGCATACGTAAAATTGCTTTACACGTGTGTAAATTGGACAGCATCTTAATGCTTTAAAACAAGGCTTGAGATCAGATTTAAGATCAGCTGCCTGTTTTAAGTGATCAAAAAGAAAAAAATTTTTAAAAGACAAGAGTATAAAGTTGAGTCATTAACAAATTAGAGAAATAAAAAACAGAGCCACTTTAGAAGTAAGGTTGTCAGGAAGATCGTTAATATAGATAAAAAACAATCCAGGAACAACTTTCCCTGAAGTTACTAGAAATGAAATAGAATAATTGACTTTGAGAATGACTTTAATGAAGCAATTAGAGAGAAACAATTTAATTACTTCATTAACTTTCTCAGATACACCATATAAAGCAAGGTTATGGAGAAGACAATCATGCTAAACAAGAAAAAAAAGCCTTGAATATGTCAGGAACAATTTGTATGATATAAAAAATAGCTGGTAATTAGTCAAATTTTATTTAGGCATTAAATAAAAATTGTTATTAATCAATACAGCATATAGCCTGTTACAAAGGATAAAAAACAGTGTTTAAAAATATTGCATGTCACACTAAATACATAATACTCATCTGATTTTATTAAGTAGTTTAAAATTTAATATTTTTGGTATTTATTTTTAGATCAAATGCTTATTTGAAATCATACTTGTTTTTGAAAAAAAACCCACCTTAATGTACCACATTGTTTAATCATTGTCATAGTATTTAACTAGTCTGGAAACGCGGGTCGTTTTCTTATAACACTTTAGTTCCTCTCTATACTAGTGCTCAGCCTACTTTAAAGTGCATCAAATTGTAAACATTATATACTTCGCTATAGTTAAGTTGCATATATTCTTGGGATAAATATTGAAATGCCAGGAGCAAACTGTGTTTGTTTTGGTTATTCAGTTTAAAATTATTATTTTGGAATGCATATATATTTCGTATTCTGAATAAAAAGATGAATATAGCATAAAATGAAGACATTAACTGTTGATAAATGTAGTTACTTGACAGAGGTTGTAGTGGTATGAATATGCATTTTCAAACTATATAGCTTATATCATATAAGCATTTAAGTTTTAAGTTATATAAAAATATGTAGTAGATGCAAACACTTCATCGACTGCATAACTTGATGGATGTATATGGGTATAAATGCTTAGTATCATATATTCAGAGTATATTTATTTAAAATGTTAGCTAATAGAGCTTAATAAACTCTATATTCTATATAAAGTTTACTTAGCTGGATTAGTTGATAATTTATATCACTCTTTACATTATGTTGGTATCTTTTCTGAAAACAAGAAAAATCAGGTACAATTTTATCATTTCAGTTGGTTTAAAAGCACTTATTACTGGAAAACACTCTAAAAAATGAAAAATATTTATCTAGAGTAGAGTATGTACACCCTTAATACAGCATAATTATCTATCTATAATTATCTATAAGTAAAAAACTTATTCAGTAACAAAAAATTAAGATTTTAATAAATACTTTAAAAATAACTAGTATATCAAAGCTTCTTTAACTAAAATTCAAAAGCTTGCATGTAAATTTTTGTTTTTATTATGCTGTGCTGTATTGCAATTTATATAATAGCAAATATACTTGATGCAATAAAGATGATGCAAAAGTCTGCTACCAAATATTGCATCACTAACTAATATAATGCATACATAAATCAAACAATATTTAATTAAAAAAAAAAGTACAATGTATTAAAATAAGATTATAGAAAATATACTTTATATTAAAAAAATAGAGTGTATTAAATGAAGTTACATAATTTTATTCCAAATCTTGATTCTAAGTTTAAGCTATGATTTATCTTGTTGAAAAGGCATTTTAAATTATTCCTTTATACCTAATCCACCACATTAAAATAAGACAACTTGTTACTGTCTTATTTAAATATGATTTATTCAGCTTAAAACATACGGAATATATATATATATATATATAAAGATGTTAAGTTTATCTCACTTTCATTTTAATGTTCATGTTTCAAAATAAAGCGTGCTTTTTAATTGATGTTCTTTATATATCAATTTAGTTTGACTTTTTTAAATCTTGAAAGCTTTTAAGTTATCTTTTATAATTTAAAACCTACCAACTTGTATAAAGATAATCATGCATATTTAGCAGCAAGCAAATATGATAAACACTGCTCAAGTTACAACTTAGACATGTTAGAACTAAAACAAATTGTTAAATTAGAGGTACTAAAAACATTCCCAATAAGTCATAATATAATGTTTTGTTTAGTAATGTAGTGAAATACACGCTTAAACATAATAATGTCATTGATAAAAGAGATACCAGTCAGATTAACAAAGACAAGATTTGCTACTCCAAAACATGAAAGAAAAGTACAAATTTGGCTGAGTTTTAAAAAGAAATTGTTATTTGAGAAAATATTTTGTAGAAACAGTGATACAAAATTTCAGCATTTCCATCAAATGAATCAGTTTCACTAGGAACTAAGCTGTAATAACTTCTTCTTGAAATACTTGAAATATTTATACTTGATTTTAAAGTTTTAAATTCAGCTTATAGCAGACTACCATTTATCTGAAGCAAGCTTTTCTGCAATCTAGATTAAATAATTTTTAAACCTAATAAGATAAAGAATAATTTTCTTTTTCTTTTATTCTCTACTAAATGGTTATCAGTAAACTTGTCCTTGTGTTTGGCATTGAGGTGACAACCATGTGATACACATTGTTTCTTGCAAAACAAACACATATTCTTTCTTTACTTTATTTATTATAAAATAAATTAAGTAGTCTAATGTTTAAACTAAAATTGAGGTCTGTCTCCAACAAATAGCAACTCAATAGCATCGAATTCATTCAAATTTTGCAAGGCTTGCTCCACAAAAAGTCATTTAAAAATATTTAATGCACTCTCAGTCTAGTCACCCCAAAAAAGTCAAGTTTTTATACGAAGTCTATATAAAATGGCCCGCATTTCCAGACTATTTAAATATTATGACTATGATTTAATGTAGCACATTTACAATTTAAAAAAAAATACCTTCAACTTACTTTAAGCTTAAACAACTCTCCTATAAACCGTATATTTCCAAGCATCCGTCTTCGATTCATTATTTCACGCTGGTCTAAATCTGCTTTCCATAGTTTTGACTCTGCTTCCTATAAAACAATATCAAGATTTTGAAGTAGTTAAAAATAGAGAATTAAGTGGCACAACTTAACTAGAGCAGCAACTAAAAACAAATGTTTTTTTTTTTTGTTGTATCTCTAAAAACTGAGCACTTCTAAAAATAAGTTTTTAATTGGTTTTATTTTTGGTACTATTTTTTAAAATTTAGATATTAAACTTTCAAATAGCTACAGTGGCATTAAACCAATAAACACGCATGCATTTTATTAAATATACCTTGTAATATCCTATCTATCAGCTACAACAATTTATGATTTGAAGAACTAAATTTTTCGAGTTAGTAACATTTTTTATTTTAGAAGATAGAGATCAAAAAACTGAAACTTCCGTTTCACAAATTTTATTTAGTGTAAATTGTAAATGGTGTATAAAATCTAACAAATATAGGTTAATATAATTAATATGTAAATAAACCAAAAACAACCTTACAAAAACTATGCTATACAGAAAGAATTTTTTTTTTTTTGCTACACTGTTAAATGAGGCACCTGTAGAACCTGGAAGTTTTAAAACTCAACAAGCTGTATTCAAATTTTGCAGCCTAAAACTTGCAACAACAACAACAACAACAAAAAAAAGGCACCTAAGCACACCACTATGTGCACTTACTAAACTTCAATGGATTCAATCTTTCGTCCTCTGAATTCTTGTAAAAGGAAAAGTAGGCTTACAACTTCAAGAACTAGAAATTGTAAACAGAATAAGAATAAATTAGAATGAACTTCTTCAAACAAATACATTTTTCAAAAAGAGTTCCATTAACATTGTAGAAAAACAAAACTGTGACCTATATTTTCTCAGGCAAAACAACAATAAAAAAGAAAAGCAAATATTTAATTTAGTTATTATATTGTTATTCATTGAATGGTCTAGCTATAAATGAAGTACATAAGTAAACAGTAAAATAAAAAACAACTAAAAATTATAATCAAAATTTTTAAAACGGGATAAATCACAAATGGATTTAGCACATGCCGTCTATGGTACTAAATGCTCATTAAGACTTTTAATAATAAGTGGATAAAATTTCTTGCAAAATTGCTAACTGCATTTAAATTACTTAAACATGATATATTGCCTAAATTCTTACTTAAAAGGGTTTATAATGAAACCTCAACAAAACATAACGTTCTTGCCATAACTGCTTCTAATGTTGCAATTTTATGCAATAGTTAAAACAATATCAGGTAAAAAAATTCAAAATTTAAATTTATAGGATGGATTGAGATAAATACCGATTTATGCCATAGGTAGGGGGTCACAAACTTCAAGATAATTTTAAACTTTATGTAACAATGTGTATAATTTAGAATTTATATAGTTTAGTATTTGAATAATTGAGAACTTGTATGTGTGAATATTAGAATTTAAATGAAAACAATTGTAAATCAAAATAATAATATAAAAATAAATAAATTTCTCTCTCAGTAATAATAATTAGTTATTAAGTAGATCATTGTTTACTATAATTTACAGATTGAAGGAATGAAGAAATCAATAATTTTGTTGTAACAATACTTCAACCAGTATTTTAGATCAGCATCTAAACAGGTAATCTTTTTTTTAATTTTTTTTTTTTTATTTGTGGTTTAGGTGCCCCAAGAAGACCTAACAGTCTTGTCACAGAGCACCAGGGAAGTGCATTTAACCAGAAAGTTCATGCCTCCTTCATTAACATGATGCGAAAATATGTCCAAAGCTAGTCTCAAACCTGGATCTACTGCTTATAAAGCAAGCGCTAAAATAATCCATTAGAATTATTTTAACTCATAATAGTCAGATACCATGTTCTATTACTTATTCTCAAAAGTAATAACTAAATTATTTTATTTTATAATAAAAAATAAACGAGAAATAAAAATAGAATAAGAAATAATTTTTGTAGATTTATCAAACACACTTGAACACATTTTTTAGACGCAGAATGTTATACTGGCAAAAACAGCAAAAATATTTTAAAAATGATGTGTTAAGTCAGACCAATGAAAATTCTGGATATATGTACTGACAATGCAGCCAATATGAAAAGAGCATGGCATCTAACAGTTCATGATAATCTTCATATATACCCTTATTGAAGCGTAGCTCAGGCCTTGTTAAGAAGCATTACGCAGCTCGCATTTTGCCTGCGAAAAGGCGATTTGCCTACGCGTTCAGCAGTTATGCGTTACGCAAAAACTTTTATCGTTAAGATTATTTAAATTATCTTTTTATATTGTTTATGTGACGTTCATTTAGAAGTATTTAAGTCGTAAGTAAAAGCATTAAACCGCAATTGTAAACTAATAGATTTTTTGTTAAAGAAACAATTTGTTTAATAATTTTTTTTTTTGTTTTTAAAAATTACTTAAAGAAAATAAAGTGTTTTAAGTTTAAACTTTTCATCATATTTAATTTTAAATATTAGATATTATAAGTTTATAAACAATCAAATTTAAAAAAAGAAATATTTTCAATTTATTTTAAAATTTAAATATTTTTTTAATAATTATATTTTTTTTAGTAAATAAATTTATTAAATTTAATTAAAATTCTTTCATTTAATTTTAAAACAGAGCATTTTAAAATTTTTTATTTTTAAAATGCTCCGTTTTTTATGATGAAATTACCAAAGTAAAAAAAGATTTAATAAATTTAATTTAAGTTACTTTAAAATGTTCGTATTACATATAACTTTATTTTAATTTTAGTTAAGTTTCAGGTAAGTTCCAAATACTGGTCTGAAAGATGCGCTTACAAAAGCGCATTATTTTCCAGTTTTTATTTTTCCATTATTTTACTGTTTCATTCATTATTTACAGAAGCGCATTATTCATTTTATAACTACAAATTAATAAATGACGTCAATATACTTTTAAACTCGAGTTATAAATGTTATGTTTGGGTTTTCCCTTTGCCGTTTGCCAAAGAATTTTTTTTTATAAAACAAACCAAGGACGTATTAAAAATACATCCTTGAACAAACTAAAATACAAACCTATTAAAAATAACGTGATCAGTAAATAAACTCTTTAAAAACCCAACTTATCTTTACTTTATTTCAAAAACAAAACTAGTACTTGAGCTATAAATATAAGATACATAAATTTTAAAATTATAATGATATTTGTTAAAAACAAATTCTGCTTATAACATCTGAAAACCGAAAACACTATTTTTTTTTTTGATTGAGAAAAAAAAATTAGGTTTCACTGTACATAAAAATAAAATAGTTTAATGGAAATAAAAAAAAATAAAGCCGAAAAAGCAGTAAATTTCGTTTTTTTACAACATTTATTTTATCAAAACAAAACTTTTTTTTTTAAAAGGGAAAACCCAATCTATGCGTTTAGTTATAAGTACATTTAAATCCCTTTAAGAAAATCAACCATAAACAAGTGTTAAATTTAAATTATTTAAAAAAAATAATAAAAAAAAAACAACAACCATAAAACGAATGTTTAAAAGCAAAAAAATTAAGTTTAAATAAGTATAAGATTTTAATACAAGACTTTTTTTTAACCAACATTGTAATTTTTTTTTTTTTATAACAACATTGTACAATTTAAAGCTATTTCGTTTCAAAGACTAACAATAGTTTTTAATGTCATTTTAAATTTAATTACAATGAAGTAAAAACGCAACTGACGTAAATTAAATTTTAACAATGTAAATATCTTTATTGAGTAAAGTTACATTTATTCACGTTCAGCTTTTCCGTTACGCAGCGAAATCTCGTAACAAGGCCTGGTAGCTCATACACTTAATTTGATTTTCACTGATGCAAGTAACCTTAAATCGATAGCAGCCTCCCAACAAGATTGCAGAATAGTAAAAACAATATAGAACTCAAAAAATCAGAATTGTTAGAAAAAAAAACACAAATTATGACAAATAACACTATCATTAAAACTTAAAGTTAAAATTAGTTTTACTAAAAATAGTTTATCAAACTTATTATCTTATCAAGTATCATACTTAATATCATCGTATGTAAGTAGAGTAAAGATTAGACAGATTTTGTTTTCAGACGGGGTTAATTATTATATAATATAATTTATAATAAAAGAATTATTTACAATTCTAAACAAAATATTTACAACAATCTTGGAATAATCGCATCTGTGAACTATTTTTTAATATTCCCAGGGCTATACATCATTTTTTTGATAAACATTGACTTATGTATCTTTATTTATTGGCGAACGTCTAATATTAGAAATTTATGTCAAGTAAGGGAGTTTTATTTTCAAACAATCTTTATTTTAGTTAAAGTTATTAAACATAAAAAAGGTACATAATTAATTTATCCAATTTTAATGTTAAAACTTTTTTAGAATTAGAATTTTGTTTCAGACGGGGTTCAATTTTTCTACTTTATGGAGAGTTTTCAAAACAACAGGTTAGCACTGCAGAGAAAAGCTGTAGATGAAGATTAAATAGCTGAGGCTATTTAAAATAAACAGTTTTACTTTAATTGCCAGATTAAAAATTTTTTTACATACAAAACATTTAATTACAAGCTACAAATTTAGTGGACTCATAATATAAAAGGATGTCACTACTCAGAAGAATAAACAGTAAATCCTTTGTTTAATTTTATTATTTTAGTGCTTTTTTATATTATTTTAAAAACAAATATTTTTTTTAAATATACTTTTTAAAATTAAAAATATATTGTTAATTACTTTAAAAAAACTTGTTTAGATTGATGCCCTTGAAACTAAGGTGTTCCAATACACAACATTTTAGAAAAAAATATGTGGAAACCCCTTTTTAAAAATTTTTGAATAAAAAATATTTTTAGGGGTCCACCAAGGCCCTTTAACATATTTATAAAAAAAGTACTCACTGTTTTAACCCATTTGGAAGTTTTTAGGTAACCCTCTGGCCATAGATGTGGTTCAATACCACAGCTATGGCCAGAGGGTTACCTAAAAACTTCTAAATGTGTAACTCAATATTATGATTTTCATTTTGATAGAAATTTCAGTATATCTATGATTTTTTTCGACTAGAGATTAATGATCAAAGAAAATATCTAACATTTAAAAAAAATTTTAAATTGCCTAAAACAAGTATAAAACATTTGAACTAAATTAAAAATTATAACAAAAATGTATTCAAAGAAAGATACTTATGTGATATATGACTTGTTTTATTTTATTTTTTAATGTTTTACATTTTACTTTAAAAGATTTCTTGAATTTTTATAGCAAATCAAGAAAGAAATTATAATGGCATTATTTTGATTGCAACCCATTTCTTCCATATTTCATTTTGCTAGTTTTTTAACTGAATCTACTATTACGATTGTAATGGTGAAAAAACTATTAGAAAAGCAAATATATTTAACTTACAGTATCAAATGTTCTGCCTTTATCTTCTTCTAAAAGTTTCTCGTCAGAACTATCTTTATCAAACTCTTTTTGACATTTATTTAAAAGAATCCTTCTAAATGTAATTGTGCCATTAGGAGTGGAAGTATCTGTCATGGGTTGTTTAAACTAAAGAAAAAAATAAATATACAACTTTGTAAACAATATATAGGCTTTGGCAAGTAAAAACATGAACAGGAGCAGTAATAAGTTTTTAGATGCTTATCTAAAACAAACTTAACGGGTTGCCCACGCTAGTAGTGCTTGCGCAGGTAGCAAACAAGATTTTCACTTTTTTGATATATAGATAAAAAAGCTAGTCACGAAAATAAAAAGAACTATGATAATTGATTACATTTTAGTAATAGCTTTGGCATATGAGATAGGAGGGCAATGAGTAAATTATAAAAGAATAGATAATAAATTTCAAAAAATATCATTAAATATTGGGTAGGTAGATTTAAAAAGTAGGTATTTGTAGGGAGGTGGAGGGTACTCAAAAAACATATTGCAAAAAGCTGAGGAAAGGGGGAGGAAAGTAGGATAGGATGTTGATATAATAGCATATGAAATTTATGGATGATCCCAAATACATATGAGAAACAATTATCAGCAACAGTTTTTTTTCTGATATTTATTCAGCATTGTAACAATTTATCAAAAAAGACTGTTATCAGTTTCTTTAAAATATTTTTTAATGTAATTAATAAATCAAATAACCATTTAGGTCATTTAAACTTAATATGTTTATTTGAAAATAGTTACATCAAAATAGTTAAATAAAATAAAGACATTTACATAAATCGTGATAATGAAAAAACAAAATTTTTTTAATTGTTGCTTACTACTTCTTAAAGCAATATTTTAAATGAGCTAGATGTTTTAAACTATTTTTGTTTTTATAAGGGAATTTATAAGGAAAATGAGATTCAATCTGAACATTAATAAATTTTCCTATTTGAAAACAAAAAATAATAGTTTACATAGATTTTGTTTGACTGGTGTAAACTGACTTACAAGGGTGTAGAGGCAGGCACAGGCTTATTATACACAGACACACACACGTTTATGTGTGTGTATATAAATATATATGGTTATACAAATTGTCGCGAGTACGCATGGTAAAATTGACACTATTGACTTGAGCCCAACAGTGTGTGTGACTATGTATATGTATATGTATATGTGTATATATATATATATATATATATATATATATATATATATATATATATATATATATATATATATATATATATATATATATATAATTATATATATATAATTATATATATATAATTATATATATATAATTATATATATATAATTATATATATATAATTATATATATATATAATTATATATATATATAATTATATATATATATAATTATATATATATATAATTATATATATATATAAATATATATATATATATATGTGTGTGAAGTTTTTGTGTTTGTAATTTTGTTTTGTAGTACTTGCTTTCATTTTGTAGTTTATGTGTTTGCTTTTTTGTTTGTGTAAGATTTGTCATTATTTGTGCATTTGTTGCTAATTATTTTTATTGTTGTTCTCTGTTTTTTTTATTTTACCACATTTTCTAAACCTTTTTTTTTTTGCCTTAAATAACAAATTATTATTATGTGTTTTGCCTTTTGGTTTGTGTTAAGTTGGTTCATATTTTTCGTCTTATTTTTTTTATGTTTATTTAATTTACGCATGCTTTTATTTATTATTGCTGTTAATTATTTTACTTGTTTGCTTATTTTATTTAGGTGTCAACGACTATATGAGTTTTTAACTATATGAGTGACACCTAACCTAATTTTATTAAATTATAAAAAACTTTTCAATATTTGGTTGAATAAATGGATATACTTAATTTAAACTTAAAATGTTTTTAACATATTTTAACATTTTAAGAGTAATGATTAAAACTAGTTTGCGTACAGTAATATATATATATAAAAAAAAAGAATTAAAAAAAATTGGTTTTTATTTGGCATCTTTTTTATTTGGCATCTTTTTTGTTCTCATGCTACCAATCAAATTACATAGCAAAAAATAAAAAATATTATTTTTTATTTTTTGCTATGTAATTAGTAGTAAACAAAGATTGCTACTTGATTTCTTTCATCTCTACTCATTATTTATAAATAATTAAAAAAATTTTTCACATCTGTAACAAATTCGTGTAAAAAAAGTTGTGGCTTAAGTCAAAAAAAAAAAAAAAAAAAAAAGCACAATACTATTTGTTACAGCTGTGAAATTCAATGCTTAAAAAAAATTAATAAATGAAAAACGAGTTTAGGGGAAATAGTCAAACTGTGTATGTACTCACTGACTTTAACACCCCTCCCCCAACATACCTGCATGTATACTTAATGGATAGCCTTAAAACTTAGAAATCAGTAGATATGATGACTGATCAAAACAAATGGTGGCAATCTTAACAAGAGATAGCAAAAGGAAGAAATTATAGAATTATTGCCTCAGCCAGCTAATTCAGGTTGACATTATAGTTAAAGTTTCAGGTTGACATAGGAGATTAAACAAGACATAAAAATAGCCTAACCCAAAAACTAGATTCTTTCTTGGAGAAGTGTTAAAACCAAAATTAACAAAAAATTTATTAAATCGATGTAAAGCTCCCAAATTAGCAGTGAACATTTAAAATACTAGTGTTCATTCGCGTTGGGTTATATATATTAATTATTGTGACAATAAAAAACTGATGCAGAGTTGCAAAAGGACTTTGGCTTTATACCTCAATATTTTTCTAGTTTTTTTTCCCGTTAGTAGTTAAAAAACTTTTGTATATTTTTAGAGCTCTTGGATACCAAAACATAAGAAGTTATTGCTTTGTTACTTTCAAATCTGATTCTTTTGTGGGACTTAACATCCCTGTTATTGTCAATAAATAGAGCAGATTTTATTGACTATTTCTGTTATTATATTTGATAACTCTTTTATATAAAATTATGTCTCAGGAGGATGATGCAAAATTCATTTAAAAATATATTTTCACATTTAAAAAAAATTCATTATTTTCTTTAGTTAATACTTTATGATACTTACAATCTATAATTTATTATGTATTTTTTAAAATACTGAGTAAAGCAAAAATAAAAAACACAAAAAAATTGATCTTAATAAAGATCAATTTTTTTTTGATTTACAAAATATTAAAAATATTAATGAACAAAAACTAAATAACATACACAATCAATTAGGCGATGACATAAATTAGCATATGCCACACTGAATACTGGCTCACTGACTGCCTTCTCAAATATAAGATCAATTGCAATTTCTAATTTTTCTTTAGTGTCAATTTTCAATTCTTTCATTTTGTCAAGAAGTGATATAAATTTCTGTGGTGTCAGTTTATTCAATATTCCACGTATGCTTCTAGCGAGCTCCTAAATATTCAATACAAAAACATAAGTTTTGAAAATTATTTAATCTAAATTAAAAATTTTCAAAATATACTTATATACTCATACATAAGCTATGTATTCAAAATATTATAGAGCATTCTTTATTCGATAAATATTACAAAACTATTATCTACTAGACAGTATTAATAGAATATTTAAAGCAGTTTGATGGATGCTTGAGTCATGTTAGATTTTTTAAAAAATTATTTTTTATTATTTATATTTTTAATTTAGTTTTCTTTTGTTTAAATTAATTGTTTGAACCAAATACCTTGTTTTTCAACATCAAGAGCAAGCATTAGGATTGCAAATGTTGCGTGCAAATAACTTTTGATTTGTTATAGAGCATTCTTTATTTGATAAATATTACAAAACTATTATCTACTAGACAGTACATTTAAAAAAAAAACTCTTTAAACTTCTAATCCTCATATTTGTTTATTTTTTACAACCAAGTTCTTATTTCAATTCTCTGTTACTGTTTTAATGTCGCTCATAATATTACAATTTAAGCTAAACTAGATAATAAAAAATTGTTTTATATAATGATTACTTTTGTAATTATTAAAATTATATTGTTTTAAAAAAATTTATAATCAATTTTTTTGCATAATTAAAACAGTAATAGATAATTTAAACTATGCTATGTAACATAAAATTCTGGAAATGCTGTTTAAAAAAATAATTTAACGATATGTAACTCAAACTATACATTTGATTGAAACAAAGTAACTTATATTATACATTTAAGAAATGAAATAAAAACATGAAAATGTTCACCTTGTACCAGGTATCAGGTCTTATAAAAAACATTTGTAAACCACACTGGCAAAACCACAGATGTCACATTTTTCTCATTTTGAGAAATGTATGTATGTATGTATGTATGTATGTATGTATGTATGTATGTATGTATGTATGTATGTATGTATGTATGTATGTATGTATGTATGTATGTATGTATCACTAAACTCAATAGTTGTTATTCAATAAAAAATATTCATATTGATCTTGAATTTACAATATAAAATCTCAATAAAAAAAATATGATAATATTAAATTTTTAAATTATAATATTAAATATATAAATTTATAATTTTTATTATTATTAAAACTTATGGTTAAAACTTTATTAATTTAACTCATTTGATAAAACTAGTAAAATAAAGCACATAGTACAATGTAAAATTTAAAAAAAAAAAAATCACAAACCACAACAGTCTAAAGAAATTTAGCAGAGATCGAATATTTTATCAATTATATAAAAGAAATAGTGAAATGAGATAAAAAATAATTTCATATCTTATTTAAATTTTATGAAATATTTCTTATAAAACGTATTTAGCCGTCAATTAATACTTGTTACAATCTAACAGAGTTTTTAAATAAATAATTTTTCAAAGTTTCCCTCTAAACAAAAAATAATTTTAATGTTTCATACAATGCGCAGTAGTTAAAAGCTTTAGAAACAACTTTTTTTTTAATCGTTTTTTAAATTTTTGAGCAAATATTCCCACCTTTAGTAATTATTATTTTTATCTTATAACTTTTTTTATATGTAATGCTTAAATTACAGGGATTATCTTGGTCATATTTAAAAAATCCAGAATATTTTTTCCTAATAACATCTGAAAAGTATTTTGAAGAAACATCCAGAAATTCCTGGAAATAAAAATGTATTTTGTGTAACTAATAATATCTCATGTGTTTGAAAATAAAGATTTTGGCAGACATTCTTTTAAAAAAAAAAAAGTATTTTAATACTTATTTGAATAGAGTTTATAAATTAATACAATTTATATTTAAAAAACCTTTACTGTTTTAATTATTTGAACTACTGGATATCCAAAAAAATAAAAAAATTTAAAAATTAAAAAAAAATTTTTTTTTAATAGCTATTTCTGGAATTGCGGATATATCCAGAAGAAAATAATACCTAAAATTACCTGGTGTTTAAACAAATAATAATTTAAAATATGTAAACTTAGACTAGTTTTATTTTTGCAGTAATATATTTAATGTTTTATTTTTTCATTAAATTTTGCAATATGATAAATTGGCAATTTCATTGAAACAGTGTTCACTGTTTTCAAATAACTTAAAATTTGAGAACCAAAAATATTTCTGGATATTGCAACCCACAATGACTTAATCAAAGGTTTGGGGAAAAAAAAAATACATGCTAACATAAGCATACTTTAACTGATAAAAGTAAAGTGCAATTAATGGGCATAAATAATTGCAACTTTGCTTAGAATGTCTCTTAAGTAAAATAAAAGTATAATAACTTTTTTAAATATACAGAATACAAACTTACATCTCGTTCTCTTTGTTCTTCAGGCAAATCTTTCATCAATTCACCAGGTCGAACCCATGCATTTTCTGACTTATGTAGCTCTATTTTTTCAAATTGGGGAACAACAACAATCTTTTTTTGTTGTCCACTAGAAGCTCCAGAGCTTCCTCCACCAGATCCTCCTCTTCGCTCTTTTTCCTTTGATGATCTTCCTCCTGATGATCTTCCTCCACCAGCTTGTTTCATATAACCAGGTATAAAATCATTAGAAGCTAGTCTTTGTCCAGGAACTAAAGCTTTAGTAGGAGCATGTGCCTCATTTAATACAATATCAATGTCAGGTAGTCCTTGAGGTTTAGAAGTGCATATTGGAGCAAATTGAAATTGAAGCAAAAAGTCTCGATTGTATTGTCGCTTTTCATTATCAATGTCAATTTCTTGAGTGTCTAAAATACAATAAAAAACTTTTTTTTTCTAAAAAAAATTTATGTATGAAGGTAATTTAATTTATTGCAAATTTAAAATAAATTCAAAGAAAAAAATGTTAATTCAAACAAATCCTATTTAAAAAAACTACATGTTTTTTTTTTCCCCTATAATTCACCTCCCCAAGGCCAAGAAGGTCACTACAGATGAGGAGGCAACTTGTGGTTGAACCTTGACGAATAAGGCCGCTGAGCGGAGAAACAAGTTCAGCGCGGTACTACCAGAGATGTGGTGGGAATCGAACTTGGAACCTCTTGCTTATGAAGCGAGCGCTCGACCACTACACCACTACCGCAAGATTTATTAACAACTAAAAAGGATGTCTTTCATTTGCGGTGAGTTATGAATAGAGTATTGTTCAGTGTAAACAAACTTATAACTTAAAAACAGAAAGACCACTAGTACCATTATCTCTATGGCAAAGTTTACTTGATTTTGTTCAACTATTTCGTAAACATTAAAAATGGTATGTAGCATTAAAATACTATGCAGTGAAAACAGAGGTGTATATTTTTGCTTAGTTCCTGTTTATTATATTTATAATTGATCTTAATCATAAACTTGTAATGTGTTACAAGCAGTAACTTCAATCTCTGAAAAAAAAAAAATTAAAAAAAAGGAAAAACATTTTTTGTTGTTTTTAACATTTTTTATAAAATAAAGCGAGTTGAAAACTGGAGCTCCTTTAGTTCATATCAATAAAGCACATCTATCTTTATTATTTAACATGAATTTAACAAACAATAATACGACAAAAAGATACTCAACCAAAAAATTTGTTTACAAAAGATGTAATTACCAAGATCTAAATTCATTTTTCAAAAATTTTGATTGGAAAAATAAACTCAACATTTATCTTAATATCGAAACAAACTACAAAATTTTCATTAAATATACAACAATGGATGTGAAAAGTTAATAAAAAAACAAAACTTAAATTTAATTCAAAAAAAGCCACATTGGTTTAACAAACAACTAATAGAGCTAACCAAAAACAAAAAAATCTCTGGTTCAAATTAAAAGTAAGCGGTTTTAAACATGATCTGAAACTTAAATACCTGGAAACAAGGGAGGTGAAACAAGGGGTATTTGAGTACAAATTTTTTTTAGCAGCAAACGCAAAATTGAACCCAAAAACAATTTATTTTTACATTAACAAAAAATAAAACATCAAAATTGGTATCAAAACTCTCTTGGATGAAGAGAGAAATTTAATTAAAAGTGAAAAAAAAAAAAAAAATTGCTGAAATGTTTAATCTAAAGTTTCAGAAGTTTTTTTGGAAAGAAAATTTAAATGAGCTTCAAGAATTTATGATTTAAACCAATGTCAAATGTGATTAAAATACTGATATTTTTAATTTGGAAATGGTTAAAATAAACTACTTATTTGAATAGAGTTTATAAATTAATAAAATTTATATTTAAAAAAACCTTTACTGTTTTAATTATTTGATAATGAAAAAAATAATTTTTACTTTTTCCAGAAAACTATTGGATATCCAAAAAAAAAAAAAAAAAATTTATAGCTATACCTGGAAGACAATTAGAAACAAACATATATCATGTGGCCTTGACGGAGATCATCCTCATGTACTGTCTAGCTGCTCTGATTTATCTAACTCAATTCTGTTTTTATTTAAGTTATTGTTTAATAGTGGTAAAATAATGGAATTATTGAGACTAGCAAATGTTACGCCAATTCGCAAGAGCGGATGTCATTCAGATGTTTCAAATTACAGACTCATTTTAATAACATTAGTGGTCTGTAGAGTAATGGAGAGCATCATAAAGGACAAAATAGTAGAACATCTTTCAATAAATAATTTAATACCAAAGGATCAACACGACTTCGTTAAGGAAAATAATTCAAAACAAACTTGCTTGAATCATTTAATCTAATTACAAAAGCTACAGACAACAACATTCCATTTGATATAATATTAAAAAACTTCAGTAAAGGATTCAATCGAGTACCACACACATGACTTTTAAGAAAATTAATAGCATATGGAATAATAAATAAGATGCTTAACTGGATAATCAACTATTTAAAAGATCGAAAACAGTGTTTCATACTAGGAGATGCCATTTCAGACTGGCTTCATGTGCTTAGTGGGGTTCCTCAAGGCGCGGTTCTTAGGCAATTACTGTTTGTACTTTTGTACTTTTGTAATTGACCATACTATTTGTAATTTTCATAAACAACTTTGCATCACAAATTAAAAAAAAAATCCAAAAACTTTTGCAGATAACACAAAAATTATTGAAATCATAAAAGACAAAAACGACTCGATCAGTTTGCAAATTGATATCAACCTTATATCAAAATTGTGCAAAACATGGAAAATGTCTTTGAATGAGAGCAAATGTAAAGTAATTTTCATTGGAAATCAAATCAAGTTTAATTATCAGGTAAATGGGCATCAATTAATAAAAGTAGAATTTGAGAGAGATTTGAGGGATCACCAGCTCTGACTTAAAGTGGGACCGGCAAATCCATTCGGTAATGGCAACGTCTAATTGTATATTGGCTCAGCTTAAAAATTCATTCAAATACATAAACATTATTACTTTTAAGATGCTCTTTACGTCAATGGTGAGGCCGCATCTGGAGCATGGTGCTTCAGTATGGAATCCAAATAGATTAAAAAATATAAAAGCAATCGAATCAGTCCAAATAAGGGCAACTAAACTTGTTTTTTACTTTGTATTTTACCACTAACTTCCAAGAAGTTAGTGGTAAAATAAACAAGAATAGTATCTGCTGACATGGTCTGACAACACTAGAAAAAAGACGAGACAAGGAGACCAGATACAACAATTAAAAATTAAAAATGGACTAAATAAAATAAACTTTTAACCAAGTTAACCCCCCCCCCAAAAAAAAAACAACAACAAAAAAACAACAAAAAAAACATGATCACGGCACAAGACAACAAAACTTTCTAACCAGAGAACAAAACAAGTCTGATATCCAGGACAAACAGCATAGTCAAAGAAGGGAATCAACTGCCAGTATTCTGTCAAAACTCAAAAACAACAAACATTTTAAAAAACAATGATGACAAATTTATAATTATGGCAGAACTACTATTGTTAACAACAGCCTTAACATAAAAGAGTTAATACACTTATCAATTTCTTTTTTCAACCATAAAACTGTTACACAAATTTTAGGTGAGAATTTCACAACATAAAAAAGTCATTTTGAAGCCTTACAATGATAAAAACAAAAGCAACTACTTTAAAACTTTAACAATAATCACCAAATTATTTATGACTTTGATATTAGGCTGCTTTATCAAGATACATCTTACCAACAAAAAGCATACAATTGCTTGATACACAATTATTAACAATTTTTCTAATATATTATAGTTAAGAAATTTTTAACTATTACCATTGCAAAATTATTCTGGTAAAGAAATATGATAACCTTTATAAGACAATGAAAAATTGAGAATTATATCAACAAATACTGATACAAAAACAGTTGGCCTGCTGTAACTAAATCGCCTAATTTGTTGGATTTTAATTGCAGCATTTTGAAACATGGAGCATAATATTTACATTGCAAAACATCGTTTAGCAGCAGAATTTCCAGAGGAAAGTTTTAGTTTTACCAATATGTAAGGTTATTTTTTATAGCATGTTGATATATGTTGATATGGCTGATATATCTTATAGCCTACTTCGGTATTCTGTGTTATTGGAATTAACCGAAGTAGGCAATCACTTAGCAAAATATCCAGCAAAAAATAGTGTAAAAAATCAAAGAAAATTTGACTATTATTTAACCATTTAATAAAATAAGAATAAAACATAGCCTTATACATAAGCCATAGCAAAAACTAGCCTCCTAATTTTTTACAAAATATGAATAAATCAGGTCATGTAATTTATTTAGGCATGCATATACATAAGGGTATTAAGAAGTGATGATAATTTTGATTGGTATTCTTTAAAAAAATTCCTTTAGGTGTTACATCATGAAATACCTCTTAATTGTGCACTAATAAGAACAGCACACTTTTTCTCAAAAATACATGAAAAAAAATAAATAAAATTGTCTAGCAAAATTTTCAGCTTGCCATATCTAACCCCAAAATGTATTAAAATCTTAAAAGATAAGAACTAAGAACAATGTTAGAGCACCCATAAAAGTATGGTAAATAATGTTCAAGAAGTAACTTGATTGTTTACATACTAACTACAACCCTAAGTAGTAGGAACGGCATTCGGCAATGCCGACCTGAAAGTGTTTGAGGCGTTTTATGGTCAGAACTTTGTATCAAATAATTTTTGCCGACCTCAAAAAGATTTAGCTGTGCAAATTATTGTCGACCGTATTTTTCCAAGGGTTGTAATTGAATTTCAACTATGTAAAGGAAGAAACTTTTTAATTAAATTTAAGGTTATAACATCTTACTTTCTTGCTCTTTTAATTCATTATTTCATCACTTCTGGATACCCCTAAGTATTATGGCAAATTACTATTGTCAGATAGTGATAAACATTTTAGGATTAATTCCTAAAGATAAATGGATTACTATAAATTTAATAGTTTATTTGTTATAAAGTTGAATTTCATATATTTTAGCAAATTTAGTTAACTTTTTACAAACTATTCAAAAACCAATAAAAATATATAAAAATATTATATTAGCTTTAATAGCTCATATTATAGTTAAACTAAATATACAATAAAAGTTTTAATGTTCATAAAATGATTAATGAGCTTAAATAATAAAGCTAGAAACTTTAGTTAGCATCTTTATTTACCATCTACATAAGTGTTGACGCATTATCAAGCTAGGCCAGGAAGGCGTGCGAATTCGAGCTTTTATATGACCATGCAAATAATATCTTGTTTTGATGGTTTGATCACATTTTTAAATAAATGCACTAAAAAAATGATTTTTAGCTATGTTGAAAATGAATAATTTTGACTCTACTAATGCCTTTATATTAGCAAAACACCTTTAACTTTTATCTATATTAATTGTATGAAAATTTTATATAATTAAAAGAAAAATATATATTAAATATACAAAAAAAATTTGAATTTTATAAGCATCAACTTAAAAAAGCGATGATCCATTAAATAAACTTTATATAAGAATCATTCAAGTTAATTCAGTAGAAAAGTAGAAAGATTTTCTTAAGAAAAAAAAATTTTTTTTTGAAATATATAAATTTGATCTTTATGTTTTTTTATTATTGAAACGCATTTAAATAAAGAAACAAACCACTGCTAATGACTTTTTATAAAAATATTAATGAATATCATATATATTTTTTTATATTTATATAATTGTGTATTTTTTATGTCTTATAATAAAAAAAACTATATCAATTTTTTAAATAAACAATTTAATTATTTTTTGCTTTGTTTACTTTAATGCAAAGAATTAATAAGAATCTTTTTTTTTTTCAACTTTTAATTGTGCGCACTTATTAAACAGAGTTTCACCTAATATTATAAAAACATTAGTGAATATATAAATAATAAACTATAACAATAAGATTATTTAAAAAGGGTTTCGCTTAATATTATATTATAAAAACAGTAGTGAAGATAAATGATTTTAAGTTAACAATTCCAAACGTTATTTAAATAATCTTATCTTTATAGTTTATTATCTATTTTAGTTTTAATTTTATTTTTTAATTTAGTGGTAGTTAAGTTTATTTAAATTTTATTTTTCAGTATTTTTTTACAAAGATTTATTTGCTTCTTTTACTATAAGTTTTTTTAAAAAGTTTTTAAAAAGTTAAGATAATTTTTTCAGCAAATTTTTAAAATGTTTACAAATTTTAAAACATATTAACAGCAAGCTTGGCCAGGAAGGTGTGCATTTTCACATAACATGACGTGAAAATTCTGTTTGATTTTAAAAACTTGACCACGAATGTTATTACGTTTTAAAAGTTTATACATTTTTAAAACACACTACAAAAAATAAATTTACTTAACTATTAAAAAAGTTTGAAAAAAAACTCATCATGAAAGAAGCAAACAAATCTTTGTAATTAAATATAGAAAAAAATAAATAAATAAAAATAACTTAACTAAAGCTAAATTTAAAAAAGTAAAACTAATAATTAACTAAAATAAACTATAACTATTAGTAAAATTACGTTACTAAATTGCATTAGGAATAAATAAATTTGAACTATTTATCTTTATTAATGTTTTTATAATAATGGTCAATATTATGTGAAAAGCTTTTTAAATAAAGTAACAACTTACAACTAACAATTGTTTAACAAATGTGCATATTTAAAAGTTAAAAAAAGATTCGTAACATTTCGTTGCAGCAACGTAAACAAAAATAATAAGTTATTAAATCGTTTAATTAAAAAGCTGATATAATTATTTTTTAATTAAATTACATTTATAATAAAAAATACATAATTATATAAATAAAAAATAAAAAAATGTTAATATTTTTGTAAAAAATCATTAACAGTGATTTGTTACTTTATTTATATGCGTTTCAATAATATAAAAATATCAGCAAAGATTTATTTAGTTATTTAATTTAAACAGCTTTCAAAACAGTCTTTTTTTTCTCTCAATAAAATATTTCCACTTTTCGAGCTAATTAACTTTATGATTCATATACAAAGTTTTTTAAAAAGATCGTTGCTGTTAAAGTTGTTGCTTATAAAACTAATAATTTTTTAAAATAATTTTTACTTTTTTTAAATTTACTTATAGAAAAATTAAATATACTTAAATAAAAAATTATACAACTTTTAATGATTTGAAAGTTGTATGACTAAGTAAAATGACTTTTAAAATCATTAGCTAACTTATTTAAAAGCATTTTGCTAATATAAAAACGTTAGTAAAGATAAATGTGTCAAAGTTATTCATTTAACAGCCTTGGTCAAGTTTTCAAAATAAAATAGTATTTTCATGGTCATGATATGACATAAAATCGCACGCCTCTATTGTCAAGCCTGCATTATACTTAGTAAAATGTAAAATACCTTCTGTTTTTAATACGTTTATTTCTACTTGTCTTGGACGAACATCTTGTTCTTCATCATCTTTCTTATTGATCAAGTCATTTTCAATTATCTAATTGATAAAAAAATCTGATAAAAATAATAATTTTTTTGTAATGAATAATAAAATAAAATATGAATTTGAATAAAATCAAAATCATAAAACAGATTTCTTTCAAGCTCCTAAATGAAATATTTATTAAAAATAATATTGAAATCAGAAGTGAAAAGTAACAAATTACATTTACTTACATGTTATTAAGTAGCTTTTTGGAAAATGTGTACTTTTTATATATTTTTAAAACATGTACTTTTACTTGTACTTAAGCATATATTTTTAAAAGTATAGTACTTGGTCACATTTTAAAACATAAACTTTTTTGAGTAAAACTAAATGAGTCTATACAAATTAGACCAAAATATCACAAAAAAGAAAAAGAAAAAATAGTACGATGCTGTTTTTGATGTTTTATAACTATACATACTACTAAAACACCGAATTACTACTTCTTACAGCGAGGAGGTTTATAATACAACAAAAAAACTACAAGAGCAAAAAATTAAATATGTATGAAAGATGTATTTATAATAATATAATTCCATCATCTTTTATAGTTCGATCTCTAATTAAATGAAAAAAAGCTAAAAATATTACTCTGGGATATCAAAGAAAGTTATTAATATGTGCATGTACAATAAAAACATAAGCAATTTAAAGCTCAAGTAGACTGAGTTCAACTAATTTTAATTAAAAAAATCCTTTGATATAACTGGATAAGACAGATATAATGTTAACCTTATTTTCCCATGTTACTTCTTCTGGTTGTGTTTCATTGTCTAATTTAACTTCCTTAATTGTTTCAGGGACTTCTTCAACTTTCGGCTTGTCAACAAATGCACTAAGTATATCATCTCCAACCTCTTTGTTGTCATATGATTTATAAGACTTTTTTTTTTTCTTGTGCTGGGCTAAGAAAAACATAATTTATTGCATTTAACTAACCCTGAAGATTAGAGATGAATGTAATACAAAAAGTTTGCTAATATACAAAGGATTAACAAAAAACAAAAATAAAAATACTACCTGTTTTTAAAGTAATAGAAGGTTTCACATCCTCCACCTGAGGATTAGAATCTAAAACTTCAGGTGAAGCTTCTGCTTGTATCTCGTCAATATTCTCAATTACTTCTTCATGTACAGCAACATCAGATGTGTTAGATGCGTCAACCTGAAGACTATCATCAGTAACTAAAAGGCTGGTGGTCCCAGGTTCAGTTATATTTATATCACTTAATGGTTCAGTATCCGCCTCATTTTCAGGCTCAACAAAATCAATGCTAGACTCATCATTATTTTCTTCTAAGGTAACAGTTTCAACTATTTCGTTTTTATCGCTTATTGTCAATGGCACACTTTCCTTTGGTTCTTCATTCAAACTTTTTTCAGCTATTGCAGCAATCTAAACAAAATGATGATAAAAATTAAACATACATAACAACGTATATTACAAGGTGACCAAACTTAGGCCGTTTTACGGTGTGTGTGTGTGTGTGTGTGTGTGTGTGTGTGTGTGTGTGTGTGTGTGTGTGTGTGTGTGTGTGTGTGTGTGTGTGTGTGTGTGTATATATATATATATATATATATATATATATATATATATATATATATATATATATATATATATATATATATATATATATATATATAGCAGGCTCAGAATTGGCATACAATATTTATTTGCGACAACCAGGCCACGACTATTCGGTTTTTTTAGAACATTTCCACAAAAAAAAAACCTCTAAGATTAACTAGACCGATGAGAGATAATTACAAAGAAAAAACTAAGAAAGCAGGCCCGTATACCGTATTTTAAATAAATGGACAATTTAGAATACCAAACATATATTTTACTCAATTTTAATATCAAAATTTGCAAAAAGCATAGCATAATTGGTAAAATGTTTACAGCTTTGTAGATGTGGCTCCAAAAATGAGTAATAATATTAAAATAATGGTTTGTTTGATAACATATTATTATGATAACTAGTGCCTACAATCTCAAAAAAAAAAAAAAAAAAAAAAAAAAAAAAAGCTTAGATAATACAATCTATAAGACATGATATTCTAGAACAATATTTCACATAGTCAGCATATTTTTTGTACTAATAGAATTTGCTTGTAAATTTGGTGGGTTTTTAGTGTAAGCGAATATTTTTTATTACGCACTAAGATGTTGTGAGAACATTCAAGTTTGTGTATGTTTCTATGTATGTCCGGTAAACTGAACTTTTTCAAATTCATAAACTTGAATATCCTCAATTTATGTTTCCATGTATGTTCATAAAACAAAATTTAAAAAATACGTTAAATGTTCTCAAATTATCTAAAAAAACGTGGCAAAGTTGTTGAAACTAAAAAAAGGACTAAAGAACAATCTAAAGATTTTCAACCAAAGGTCAGGTTATAAAATGATACTTAAATTGAAATAGAATATTAGTTAAACAATTCTACGTTTTCTTATTTAAATACTTAATTAGATCCACTGCCGAAAAAAAAAAAAAAAAAGGCTTTTTATATATGCATTATTTACAATTCCTAACAATTTTTAACTTTAACATTACAAAATTGTTTAATAAAAAAATAAATTTTATGTCACAAATGCCTAATTAAATTCATAAGATATTTAAATCACATTCATATTAAAGATATAAACTATATATAAAGTTTAACTAGTATGAAAACCTTAAAAAACTAACCTGAGCAGCAAAACTAGCATTAACTTGCGCTCTTTTATCATCGATTTTATCTGGTATTGGTAAGGCAATGTTCGGATTATAAGGATTACCCATATGAATATGTACTTTTTCTTGTTCTTTCTTAGGGTTATTAATGGGGATACTATCACCAGTTATAGGGTCAGTAAATTTGACAACTGTTTTTTTCGGTTGATATTCAGGTTGAAGTTGCAATTGAGCTTGTTGAATTGGAACAATATGCTGTTGTATTTGCTGACTAGGTGTTGGTTGCGTATAAACACGCTGATTTTGAGAAGGATGTTGCTGAGGTTGTAAAATAACACCATTTTGATACCCTATGAATAAAAATAAATAAATAGGCAAGGCTAATTTGGTTAAAAAGTAATCATATTTAGTAAAGACTATTTATATTATAGAAATTAACACAATATTTATGCATGTATGTATATATATACAGGCCTTCTCAGAAGACACGTGCGGTCGCACGTCTTGAATGACCACGCATATATTTTTGTTGATAACATGGCCACGATTTTTTATGCATTTATTAAAAATGACGCATTTTAAAAACGCGCTGAAAAAATCAAACTAATTAGTCATCTTATTAGTTTTTTTTTATTATTAATAATTTATTATTATAATTATTTATGAGAAAATAAAAACCTAACAATAATGCAAATATATATGTTTGTAATTAATGATAAAATAAAAAGATAAAAATAATATATAAATATATATATACTTTTATTTGTTTTCATGCATTTAATAAAATTCTGGCGATTTTTCGTTAAGTTTTTGTTTACTAAATGAATTATGTCATTAAGTAATTATTATTTCTTCCTGTTGGCTTGACAAGGTTTTAACTGAAACTTTTTAAATAAGGAGAATTAAAAATAAAAACTTTTTTTTTTATATGTATTATAATTATTTATTTAATTGTTTTTTTTGGTTTGTTTATGTACCATTATTTTGATTGACATGTAGATGTTTAGAAAAAAATTAAATATTTAAAAATTCAACTTAGCAGCATTTTAAAAATTCAATCTTATAAAAATAACAGCCTTGATATATATATATATATATATATATATATATATATATATATATATATATATATATATCAACGCTCAAAATAGCGGCTAATCAACAATCAATGATCATCTACTTTTGGAAAAAAATGATATTTTGATCTCCCAAAATCAACTCTGGACGATCAAATAAGATCATCAAGAATTGCATATTAAACTTTATATTAAAAACTCAATAACATATCTAAACAAACTTCACAAAAATCTTCATAGGACAAAAGTAAAATATCGACACCAAAATGTTAAAAGTAAAACAACTGTTAAAAAGGTATTACAAAATTTATATAAACAAAAATTTTATTACACGTTAATGAACTATTTGAAATGAAATGAATATTTTTTAATGAATCTAATTCACATTATTATTTAGAAACAAAGTTTCATGGAAAAAATTTTGAAAAATAATAAATAATGCAAGTTTATGATTGGTAAAAAGAATGTTGACTTCATAAAACATCATAATGCTTTAGGCAAAATAAAATTGTTTTTGTTTAAAATTATTAGAAAGTTTTAGAAGTAAAATTATATAAAAAGTATTTAAATAATCATAAAATAGATGCAAGAAAAAGCAACAGAAAATTATTTCATTGAAAAGGAAATCAGGATCTAATACACTTATTAGTTATTTTTAAATAACTATTCTTGTGTTAAAGTTTTAATCAATAAATACTCTCTTAAAAGATCCCTATATTTCTTGTAATATTTTTTTTTTTAAAAAAAGGCTATCTTTTTTTTTTGGTTACCAAAACCAAAAAAGTTCGATCATTAATATTAAAAAAGCCTATTTTATTGCATAGAACGAAAGAGAAAAAACATTTTTGAAATTAAACTTTGAATGAATGATATACTTTGATCTAATTTGCATGTTATTTCAATTTTTAATAAACTTTGAGTTTGAATAACATTGAATGAATGAATTTGAAAATTTTTTGTCAATTTTAAATGTTTTCACTAAACAATCGTTTAAAATGTTGCAAATAGTCGCTTAGTTTAAACTATAGTTCTAACTTGATGAATGTAAAGAATATATTTAATATTATAAATATAATAAAAAGATTTATATTATAAATGTAACGAAAATATTTTGTGAAATAAATATAAAAAAGAACTTTTTTATATTTATTTCACAAAATATTTTAGATTTTTGTTATGAATATCTCATTCATAAATGAATGAGATATTCATAACAAAAATCTAAAAGTTAATGACAATCAATGATGTGCTAAAAATATCTTATGGTGATAAAAAATTATTTTTTTTTTAACGTTTTGAAAGATTGATTTTGCATAATCAAATGACAAATCAAAAGTTAACTTGATTAATTTCTTACTTGGTAATTTGTATGATCAACTTGATTAATTTCTTATTTGTAAATTTTTATAAGTTAGGAAAAAGTGGGTTTTTTTTTTTGCTTCTTCAAATAAGTGTTATAAATAAATTTCTATAGGTTTGGTAAATTTTTTTTAAGAATTAGAAATTTTACGAAATGTCAAAAAAACTTTTATTTTATTTTTAGCTCCTTTTATTTTAATATCTTTAAGTTTGTACATTATTATTATTTGCAAATAAATTTAGTGAGAAATATTCATTATTTAGTATTCATAGATAATCCTGGTCATACTTGAAATATCCGGAAAATATTTTCCTTATAATATCTGCAAAAAATCGGGAAAAATATTTATAAGACATAATCAGAAAAAACCAGAAATAAAAATGCTTTTTCTGCATTTACAGGGTTATTCATTCTTATATGCGCGTCTATTCATTTTATATGCGCCTTTATTCATTCTTATATGCGCATTTATTCATTTTTATATGCGCATTTATTCATTCTTATATTCGTATTTATTCATTCTTATATGCGCATTTATTCATTTTTATATGCGCATTTATTCATTCTTATATGCGTTTTACAAAAGCAATTGTAAAAAAGCTATTTGAACAAAAAAAAAAATCATTTAAGCAATTTGTTTTGAAAAAATAGTTTATTTTTTCAAAACAAACTTTTCTTATTTCCAGGTAAACGAGGTTAAAAATACTTAAAACAAAGACTTTTTAAATTCGACGATGGTTTATTTAATTTAGTATTAGTTCTTTGTAATTTTATTATTAAATTTCTTGATTGATTAAGTTATTATTTATCTAATTATTCATTTATCTCGATTTAAATTTACTTATTTATAATTACTATTAATATCAAATTATACATCCCTATGTTTGTACATACGTCAACCACCCATAAAATCTCATATATAATTTAATATAAACGATAAATACGCTTTTAAATTTTTATATAGACATATTTAAAATATAAATTAGGTTGTTTTTATTGTTATTTATTTAAGAAATGGTTGCTGAGCCAGCGCTTGATTTATATAACTACGCATATGGTTGTAAAATGGAAATATATTAAACTCTGTAGTATCCATAATATTTTTAAGTTTCCTGATTACCTCATCCGTATTTCGAGGCCTTTTTCCCTGTTTGTAAGTATGTTTTAAAGAAGAAAAAAATTCTTCTATTGGATTAAGCTGTGGCGCGTAAGCTGGCAGATACTTAATAGCTATACCATGAGAGGCTAGTGTTTGCCTAACAGAAAGACTCCAGTGGAATTTACAATTGTCCATAACAAGCACCGGCACTTCCACATTTACATTCCTAATCGCTGGTGCAATCATTGTAGTTATGAAAGTACAAAATGAATCTGCATTCCAGCCTTCAGTTTTTGTTTCATAAGCAAGCACTCCCATTGTTGAAACAGCACAAATTAAACTAACATTCTTGCCACGATTTGCAGGCGACTGTAAAATTGCTGGCGCACCTCTTAGCGAATAACCATATGTGCTGTTAGTGTGCACATTAAATCCAGTTTCATCCAAATAAATAAGTTTTTCATCTGAAATTCCGTTAATTTCGCTTGCAAATGCATAGCGTGCATTAATAATTCGTGTTGAATTTCGTTCTTTTGGCACATGCACAATACGTTTTCTTGATAAATCCGAGCGTTTGAGTTTTCTTGAAATAGTAAACTAGTAAACTTGAAATAGTAAATAGTAGGCTGAGACATGTTGAAGCCTGCTGCAGAAAGATTTTCTTTTATTGTTTCTTGCGTTCAAAGATTGTTTTCTTGTACGCATAATTCGATATTTTTTATTTGAGCGTTTATAGGTCTTTCACCTCGTTTTTTATCAGAAGACGACTTGAATGCAGTCATGTCGTCGAGTTCTCCTCTGTTTAACTTAACGACAAGATTTTGAACTGTGCGCTTCGATAAATTAAGAAAAGTGGAAATGCTTGTTGTAGATTGATTTCTTTCAACTAAATGCTTAAGCATTTCAATTTGCTCTTTTGTAACATTTTTCCTTGTTTTACGATTATTTTCTATTCCATCCATAGGGTAAAAATTTGGTATTAATAATTTTAAATAATTAAATAATAAATCTAGAAAAATAAATAATTAGCTAAAAAATAACTTAATCAATCAAGAAATTTAATACAATAATACAATTTAATACAATGTAATAAAATTAAACTAAGAACTAATACTAAGTTAAATAAACCATCATCGAATGTTAAAAGTCTTCGTCTTATAAGTATTTTTAAACTCGTTTACCAGGAATTAAGAGAAATTTGCTTTGAAATAATAAACTGCTTTTTCAATGATTTTATTAAACGTTTTTTTTTGGTTCAAATTGCTTTTTTACAATTGCTGTAAACCACATATAAAAATGAATAAATGCGCATATAAGAATGAATAAAGGCGCATATAAGAATGAATAAAGGCGCATATAAAAATGAATAAATGCGCATATAAAAATGAATAAATGCGCATATAAAAATGAATAAAGGCGCATATAAAAATGAATAAATGCGCATATAAGAATGAATAAAGGCGCATATAAAAATGAATAAATGCGCATATAAGAATGAATAAAGGCGCATATAAAAATGAATAGACGCGCATATAAGAATGAATAACCCTGTAAGAATATCTCATGTGTTTAAAAAGAAAAATTTTTGGCAGGTATTACTAGTAACTGTTTGGCGACTGAGTTAAAAAGAGTTATATGAATGCTCATAAAATAACGAACTAGGATCATCATCGATAAAAATTCAGAATTTTACGAATAAGACCTTTTTTTTTTGTTAAAGAACTGACTTTAAGAATATTAAAAAACTTTATTATTTCAGTAATGTGATCAAAATATATATTTAAATTAACAAAAGTATATAATTTCTTAATGTAACATTAAACAATTATAGAAGAAATACATAAGCATATTGTTTTGGATATTAAATAAATAAATCATTTATAGTGGTGATCAAACAAACAAAAAATTCAACCACTATCATTGAATAAAACATTAAGGATCTTGATTAAATCAGTAAAATTTAATCTATTTTAAGTAATTTTTTAAAATTGATTTTTAAGCGATCAATAAATGCAATTAACAAACGGTTTGAAGCATTAGCTTAAGAAACTATTCAAATTTCAAAAATAAGTTAAAAGTTTTTCAGCAATTACTGTGGATCTTTTTAAATATATAAAATTGTTTATGAACTGCCATGCGAGTCACTAGTTACAAAAGGGTTTATGTTTACTTAGAGTTTAAAAATAAAATTAAACTAGATTTTTAGGTGAAAAAGTTAAAACAATTAAAATGAACTCTAAGTGCTGATTGTTCACACAGGTCTCAGAAATAGTAAATAAGCCCAAAAGCAGAGAAAAGATCTCTTAAAACAGATATTCCGAGCCATGCGAGCTGCTCCTCTAAACTGTTTTTTATGAGAGTTTTCAGTTTTTATACAAGCTATCTGTAAGTATATGCTGGTAACGTGAATGTTAATTTTTGCAAAATCCTTGCCTGTTATCCAATTAATTCAATTTTTTTGACTTTGCGTTTTTCACTTTAGTTACAATGATAATTATTCTTTTGAGATTTTGCGAGAGCTGTAAATAGCTCTTGTAAACTGTTTTAGGGAAGTGTTTATTTAAAAAAAAATCTTTGATCTTTTTTTGAATATTGCACAAATATATGGCAAACAATTTTTTGTCAATATCTCAATACATAAATTGATTTTAATTAAATCAATACTTATACTATAATTTAAATACATGCTCGGTGTATTTAAGCGATTTACAAATTATTAAAATTCTTTTATTTAGAATAAGGATGGTTTTGTCAGCACTTGTTTTTTTTTTTCCTTTTTTTTTCCTTTTTAAAACATCTTCGTTTCCAAAAAAGCTGCAAGCCACCACTAATTAGAGTTGGAAATTACTGCAGGTTCATGGCAGTTTTAGAATACCATTTTCCTTGAGTTTTCCCTGATTTACACCCAGCTTCGAGTACTTTTTCCCTGATTGAAATCAGGGGAAAAGTACTTGAAGCTGGTGGTAAAAAGTGTATAATTTCCCTTGTAAATGTTGAAGGATATGATACGTTTGCAACTGAATTACTAAAATTTTTACTAAAATTTTTACTGAAATCAGACACTTTTTCCTAATTAATTGATATCTGTAAAAAGAAGATTTTTAAGTCAGGGTTTTAAACTTTCAATATAAATAAAAACTAAAAGTTAGTATGTTACAAAATAATTTCAAGTTATGTAAAAAACATTCCATGAGTTTTTCCTGGTTTTAAAGATTTAAAAAAAAAGAGTTTTCTAGGTATTCCCTGAATTTTCTGAATTTAGAAACTTTTCACTGGTTTTCCAGCTTTTACCTGAATGCGGTGAACCCTGTACTGATAACGATTGACAGATGACTTGAAAAATTGCAAATTATATGAATCAGGAAAGCAATATGAAGGAAGCGAACTCCATAGAGCTGATGTTTGAGGAAAAAAACTAGAAGAATAAGAGTTTTTGGAGCACTTAGGAACAGTCACAGAAAAAAGATAAAAATTAATTGAATGACGAGTAACACAAGGATAAATTTTAGTAGATGGCACAAGAGACACTAGCTCTTTTGAGCAGTGTCCATTATAGTATTTGTTGAAAAGAGGAAAAGAAGCAACTTTACAACGATGCCATAATGGTTGAAGGTTGGCTGCAAGAGCAGATCTAACTATGTTAATGCGTTTTTAGACCTTGTCTAAAAGAGAAAGGTCATCATTAAAAGATCTGTCCCATACATGGCAACATTACTCAATACAAGGCTGGATTTGAGATTTATAGAGAAAAAGAATAGAATCCGAAGTAAAAAAGTGTCGAGCTCAATAAAAAGATATGTCCAAACAAGTCATCTTTTTTTTTGTATGTATTTAGGTGTTCCCAGAAGTCCTTACGGTCTTATCATAGAGCACTGCGGGTGAGCATTTAACAGGAAGTTCACGCCTCCTTCCATACCAATGTCGCTTGTTGGGCTCGAACCTGGGACCTCTGAGTTCTGAGCCAGAACTCTAACCACTGTGCCACGGCTGCTCATTTTAAATGTTATAATTTTATTTGCTTCAGGTTTTTAAAATATTTAAAGGTAATTATCTTTTTTTGTTTTTAATTTAATTTAATTTTTACTAATATACGCGTACAAATAAGAAAAAAATATTTGTCTCACCTAGGTAAAATATAGCATTAAATAATTGATACCAATACTGTTTTAATTAATTGATGACAAAAAAATATTTTTAACTTACATTTCCTGAAAACAATTTGAATATCGGGAAGAAATAAAAATGTGGAAAAATTACTCGAAAACTAGAAATATTCCAAAAAAGATAATTCTTGAGTATTAATGGATAACAACTAACGAACGATAAGTTATTGTTTATTAACATTATTTTCCATGTACTTTGCAAATGCATAAATAAATAGTTGTAAAGAAATTAAAATTATTAAAATTCAATAAGCATCATTGATATATCTAATAACTTATTAACTAGAATAAACATTTTCAAATTTTTATTCTAGTTAATATAATTCTTAAATAAAATATATATTAAGGGATGCCTTAAATTTAAGACCATTAAACATATCGCAGCCCATTTTTACAAACGTCTTTTCTAAACATAAAATTACAAATACCCTTTTTAAACATATTAAAATTTGGATTTTAATATGTTTATTTATTTTTAATGTTTTTTAAACAAGACAATATTTAAAATTTGCAAAAAACTGTTGTTTTTTGAACCACCCTAATACATGTTATAGAAACTAACAATATAAACTTATCTTACAATACAAATGTAATACAAAAATACCTTGAACTAAATATTGTGGTGACTGAGTTTGATGAGGATAGCTGTGTGATTGATAAACTGGTGTAAATGAAGAATAACTATACGGGGTAGCATTTATATTATATTGTCGATTATAATTAGTATATACTTGTGACGGATCTGTATTCTAAAAACAAACAAAGAATTTAATACAAATTTAAGTCAATGCTAAAAAAGTTTTATATTTTATGTTGAAAATAGGCACTACCAGCATATTATAAATTAAATTTTATAATTAAATTAATCATAACTACTAGTTTACACAAATCAACTTTCTAGTGATAAACATGTTGTTTATTACTAGAATTATAATTTTACTAATAAAAAACTTGAAAATATATATTATAACTTTGACTAATAATAAACGAATTATAAATTGACTAATTAAAAAAGAATTATACTTCAACAAATAAAAAAATTTAAATATAAATTAGAACTTTGATCAAATCAAATGAAGTTAAAGACAAAAAACATAAAAGAAAATTTCAGTGGAACAGAACAAAAATTGATCTAATCGTGCAACAAAAAAACTATACGTTTTTATGTTACATGATTGGAGCCCTTGGAACTATGGTCAAAATTTGGCAATGTCAACTTTACTACCACTCTAAATGCATCTAAGTTTGGCATATTTTTAATATTTCTGATTTGTTACAATTAAATTACCCTTCGTATTAAAAACTTTTTACTGAACTGATGCTGAATAAATAAAGTTTTAAGTAAATTGCAATAAATATAATATAATATAATAAAATATAATATATATATATATATATATATACATATATCTATATATATATATATATATATATATATATATATATATATATATATATATATATATATATATATATATATATATATATATATATATATATATATATATATAGGCTTTCACAGTAAGGCATGCGATTTTATGTCTTTATATGACCATGCAAGTTCATTTTGCTAGAACGGTTTAACCGCGGCTTATTCAAAAAACATTTTAAAAACCAGCTAAATAAAAAATATTCTAAAAAAGTAAAATTTATTACATCAAAACTTCTCAACAAATTTTTTTATATTAGCGAAACGACTTTGAAGTAACAATTTACTGAAAAAGATTTTGTTTTTTAAATATGATTGACATTTGTATATATTTAAGACATTTAATTCAAGACATATAAATTGTTTAAAGGGATCCTAAACTCCCAACACATGTTGTGTTCATATTAAAGATAATGTTAAAAAAAAAGGTTTAAACCAAATTTTTTTGATTAAAAATAAATAATGAATGCATACCGAGAAAAACTAATGTTGTTGTTTTAGCTGAAGCTCGCCTTCTCCATTTTTTTCAATAACTCGGAGTCTATAAATTATACATCGCAATCTACAGACTTTGGCAATTCCTTTGAAGCGCGTTTAATTCATAAAAGTTTTAGTATTTGACGTCACGGTAGACTTTTAACAAAAGAAAAGTGTAATAAAACTTAGCTGCGTTTTTCTACTGTAGTATTTTTTTAACATACAGCAAAACAAATTTATTTGTATTATTTTTCCAAACATCGCAAAAAAAATATTGTTAAAAGTAAAAACAATAAATTATTTTTATTTTATAGGAGCAACTTGTTTTTTACAGATATCTTAATAATTTTTAGATTTATACATCTTACTTAAATTTCTTTAGTTTTTAAATTAAAACAAATATTAAAGCTTGACTTACCAATCTCATGATTTTCAAACGAGTATTTTACATTATATATAACGTTTTATATACGGTCTTTCGTTTTTGCGCAAGAGAGCGCAGTATTATATATTCTGATTCTTAATTATTTTTATTTAAACAATGGGAACTATTTTCTAACTTCTCTGGTTATTTTTACGCTATGACAATTTTTTGATTTCCCGTTGAAAAAAAGTATTTATTAACAATTACTTTAATAAACTGACAGTATTAATTAGAGATATTTAATGAATTGTTAACTTTTTCATTATAAAATTTTTTTGATCACGCTGATTTAATTTAAATTGCTAATTTTGCTGAATTGGATACAGATAAAAAGGAAATACCATTTTATTTTACATTTGATTTTTGATAATGAAATTTTTAAAATGTCAGCAACTCCATACCAATTAGAACCTGTTAAGATTATGAAAAAAAAAGTCCTGTTAAGATTATGAAAAAAAAGTAAAGTAGTATCAGATATGAAAATTCCTGAAAGGATATGTGAGATACTGATTTTGCATTAAAAGTACAATTAAATGCAACACAAGTCGGCATTATAAATTTTAATTATAAGTTAACTGTTCTGTATTTTATAACCATCAAATAAAAAACATGAAGTTTGTATATTTTTCGCCCGTTTTATACAACTAATATTTAACAAAAATACGGACAAATTATTATTAAATAACGCAATAATTTACACATTAATTAAAGGCAATAATTCAAGATAGATGGTAATTTAAATTGTTAAAATGTCATAAGGCGCATTAAAAAACATATTATATTTGGTATTTCCAGATTTGTGTCGTAATTGGCATTTGTCTCTTAACATGAAAAATTAAAAATTTTTAAAAACACAATTAACTAATACAAATTTTCAAGCAATTTTCTCTTCAAATTTTCATTTATTCAAAGAAAATTAAATATTAAACTTTTATTTCTCTTATCTAAAAAAAGAACGAGTGACGCAAAAAAAATATATATTTTATACAACTCTTATTCATTAAAAGTTAAATTGCGCGAAACTTTTCTTTCTATTTTGTTCTACTCTTCTATAAAAAGAGCACCTGATGAAATAAAAACTTTTCTTTTTTAATATATAATTATAGTTTGAGATAAAATTAAATTAGAAATAAATCAACAATGAGCAAAGCAACGAACAGATTAATCTGAAGCTATTTTGATATTTATAAAAATATTCACTATAAACAACATTACCAACAACAGTTATCAAATAAACAACACAATCTCGCATAATTTCAGGGGCATTTTATTTTTATTGCTTAGTCATTCTAAATAATAAGTAAATTTAGTTTAAGTTAATAATTCAATATTTACAGTTGCAATATAATAAAGAAATGGTGTTTAATACTGAACTTTTTATTTAGTTATTTATTTTTTTACCTACATTTGTTATAAAAAACTTTAGAACCCCCGTCATTAAAATAATTTGTTTTAAATATATTTCGACGTGATTATTCAAAATTATTTTTTTCGTTTGACTTTCCGAACTTCATGCAAAGCAAATTGAAACGAAGTAATGTCTAACCAAATAATAAAGCTGTTACTAATTTTATACGGGTAATTAAAGTAAAACAATTTTTGAGATAAAAATTTTGAGATAAATATTCATAATTTATAACCATTAAATATATGGCACAATAACAATTTATAGCAACGAACCAGCATAAAATATTTAAGGTTTTTAATATCTTTTTAAATATTAAAAGTAGAAAAAAAAAAAACTAAACAAATAACCAAAAAAACTTCGACTAAAAATAAATAAAAATATTTCCAGAGTTTCTTTTTTTCAAAAGTATACCGTGACGTCAAATACTAAAACTTTTATGAATTAAACGCGCTTCAAAGGAATTGCCAAAGTCTGTAGATTGCGACACATAATTTGAAGACTCAGAGTATTTGAAAAAAATGGAGAAGACGAGCTTCGGCAAAAACAACAACATTTATTTTTCACGGTATGCATTCATTATTTATTTTCAATCAAAAAAATTTGATTCAAACCATTTTTTTTAACATTATCTTAAATATGAACACAACATGTGTTGGGAGTTTAGGATTTAGGATTAAAAAGTTAAGTATTCATTTCTAAAATAAACTTTATTAAAAAATAAAAATTTGTTTTGTTTTTATAATTGATGACACTCTACGACTAGGAAAGTCTCTTTAACGAATTTAAATATAAGAATGATTAAAGTTAATGCATATAAAAAGATAACCAAAGTTTCATTAAAAAAAAAAAGTTTTAGAAACAACAACAACAAAATATTTATTTTCCTTTTTCAAAATTTACATATAATCATATAAATAACAATAATAATAATATTATCTATAATAATACAAACAATATAATCAGGGCACGACAAACGTGCGAACATTTGTTAAAAAAAAAGACAGAAAAACGAACATCACGTTTCCTTACTTTCACTTAAGCAAACGTTGGCGTTCGTTTAAATTTTTTAAAAACAAACGCATATCATTAGCAATTTTTTATTTCCAAATAATTATGCGATTGATATATATGTTTTAAGGAGTTAAAAATTTCAGAAATGTTCTGAATGTAAAAACACTAAGCTAAACTTAAACTAGGAAAAAAATGAAAAATAACTAACAAAAAAAAAAATTCCTAACGAAAAAAGAAACGAAAAACAAATTTATAACGAAAAAGAAATAATATAAGCTCTAAAATGAAAATAAAAACAAAAAGTCGAAGAGAAACTTTTAGTTACATTTTTGATTAGGTATGAAAGAAACATTATTAAAACTTATCTTTTTAAGCGTTATTAAAGTTACGCAAAACGCTTTTAAATTAAGTTACAAATTACTACTAATGATTGGTCTTATAAAAGAACAAATTTTATTAAATATATTAAAAAGTGTTTTATATAATATTTTTAAATTGTAAAAACATTTATTTTGTCAAAAAAGTAATTGTTTAAAAAAATAACTTAGTCTTTTTAAAATAGTAATTTTTACTAATTTCATGCTCTAATTAGTGAGTCTAATTAAAAAAAAGGTTTTGAACTTTTTTATTCGTAAAAATAGAATCAAAATAAATAAATAAAATGGGCCTGCGATTTAAATAAATTAACTGCCAACAAGCTTTTTAATTTAACTTTATTTTGAGCATTTTAACTTTATTAATTAGCACTTTTATAATAATTTTATAAATCTTTTATAAAATTATTATAAAAGATTGTAACTCATTTCTAACGAAACTGAAAAAAAAAAAAAAATTGTTTATAAAAAATAAAATGTTTATTTCAAATATTTTTAAAAATCGTAAGTTTAATCATGAAAACTAATTGTATGAACATTACAAAATGCTTTAAAACTTTTTCATTAAATCAACAAAATACATGCTTATATAAGTAAATAAAGATATTTTATATTTGTGTGTAATT